GGGGGGGGGGGACTGCTCAGAAATGTGTAATTAATCTGCATACACACAGAGAGGCACTGTACACATACACCAGCTGACCTTGAGAGATACAAATTGCTATCTACATTATTAGATCGCTTGCACGAGGCTGAACGTAATCGCAGCTTAATTAAAAGGTGCCTAGATAAAGAAGCAGAGGGTTCACAGGCAGGTACAAACAGCCTGAGTGACACGAACTGATAGCAAAGTCCTTCATCCCTCACCCTACTCTCACAGCTTATTAATTGTGCACTTCACACTCCATTGCGTTCACATTCTGCTAAGATGATAAACCGTGTCACCTCTTTTTTTTTTTCTTTTTTTTTGCCTCAGTTCGGCTGACGGGCGAGTGGTCCACACCAAAAAAAGACAGCAAGAGAGAGGAATCAGGGTGTGTCTCTCAACCTCACTCGAATATAATCTTTGCCTATATGTGACCTCTGCTGACTAATTTATGAAACTGCATCTCTTCGCCTCTCATTATGGCCACAGTGCGTGCCGCAGAGCAGGAGTCAGCAGAGAGCACATTAGACTCAGCCTAACTGCTGCTTGTTGAATCAGACTGAGGGTCGTCCAGCTCAGACATCCAGCCAAACCCCCACCGACCTAAACACAATTATTCCATTTCCCCGGCTCAAATGTACCGAATCATGTTTACTGAATGAATGAGGGCTTTATTTTTGTATCCTTAACCATACTAATGACATTATATGAAAAATTACCAACACTTTTGGCTGCTCATGTTTGAACAGCTTGCTTTTGATTCCCCATACAGGCTTGGAAAGGACTCCAGTGTTTATAGCTAAAAAGTTAATTTTAGGCGGATTAGTCTCTTGATTACTTACGTCCCTGAATACTGTGGAGAAAAAGGCATTTAGTTAAATTAAACTAAATTAAAGTTTAATTTGGGTCACCGTTGACTAAATAATACAATAATGAAATCAGTAAAACGGTAGTGTTGCATTTAAAGGTGCAAGATAATCTACAGATCTTTCTGTAGGTTATTTTCTCAATTCATCGGTTCATCCTTTAGTCTGTAAAATACACACATTAAACGTCTTGTTTTGTCAGACCATGAGTCTAAAACCCAAATATATATGATTTCATATCAGAGTAGATCAAGAAAACAAACCAATATTCACATCACAGAAGCTGGAACCTGTAAATTCTTGGCAATTTTGCCTTGAACGATTAAGCAGTTATTTAAAATAGCTGCCAAGTAATTAATAGTTAATAGACTGATCTTTCAGCTCCACAGTAAAGTTAAAACACATTTACAAAAACATGCACTTGGAAACAGCAAGAATGAGGCTGCATGAGATTTATTTTTTTGCACAACAACAACAACATGCACCAAGGCATGGACAACCGCCACAGTGGATTCAACACTAAACACCAGCGCGCACAAAAGCCAAACACACTAAACACACTGGCGGCTAGTTGCTATGCAAACACATTCTCAGTCGTCTCACCTCCTCCAGCTCTTCTTCCTCACCTGACAACTTGGCAAAGCTTCTGTGGAAAACGCTGCCAAAAGGAGACCATTACCATGGGAGGAGTCCTGGCTTCAAGTCAGGTCAAATGCAAAAAGAGACTGTGCTGAATTCCTCCATGAGACTCCAGTGAGCGATCACCACTCCTCCGTACAGTGATGGATGGACTACAGCCCAGCCCAGTCCCTGCCTCTTATCTTGCTTTGCCTCTTATCCTCTCCTCTGCCTCTGGATTAAATCCATTGAGTCTCTGTCACTCCACTCCCCTCTTCCTCTCTTCTCCCTCCCTGTCATGAGCATAATCACATGTACACATACTACACACCCATCCAAGGCGGATGTCCACAGAGCAGAAACAGAGGGCTAGTGTTGGCCAATCGCCGGCTATAAATAGGCTTCCTGAGTTCATCATTGTCTCTTCCTATGATGGTGAAGAGCCTAGAGGGCTTGGAGAGAGGGAGGAAGGCAGACCAAGCAGCATCACTCTCTTCTGGCTTTTACTTCCCCTCCTTGTATCGACTACCGGCTCCGTATCAGTTTCACCTTTCCTGATCCTCCTCTTCTGTAGGGAGATAAGTGAGCCATGCTGGGAGTGCTAACGTCCGTGTTTTTCACTGAATGGTGAAACACAATAAGGAATACATGAGATTGCGCCTTATTTTGGTGAACAGCAGGATGACTTTATAGCTACACTGACCATCCGTCCGTCTACAGTAATGGAAAGGTCACATGTGTGATGTGCTCTAATAAAGTGTGAGAGACAGGGAGCCCGGACCTGCGTTATTGTTGAATGTCACAGGGCACAAGATCACCAGAAAAATGCCAACTGTGCCCTTAATGTTAGCAGTAGTATAAGTAGCTGTCGTAGTAAAGTGCCAACAAAAATACTGTCACAGTGGAAAAAGAACTTAACTTCTATAACAACATCACACTGAAGAACAAAATTGTGAAAATGAACCAATAAAATACCATGCACATACATTCACACATATTCACATTCACATAACATTCTCATTTTATAATCATCCAACTACAAGCTGTAGCCCATAAAAATCATACAGAGAGCGCAATAAAACCTCCTAGATCGCATAAACACAAAGTCTTTCCAATTTAGGGAGAAGGTTAAAACTACCTGTTTCCATATAGAACGTAGAACCTTATGAGGCCTCACAGGCCTCTGTGTGCACGGATAACTTTGCCTTTCTGTTCAATTCTGCTAAAAAAAAAAAAAAAAAAAAGTGCTCAGACATTATACTGACAGCTGTATTGAAAAACATTAAATAAAAATCATTCAAAATCACTAGTCCAGGTGTCCATGCAAAATGTCCCAATCAGAGGTCATGTATTATAGTAGTGTGTAGTGTATGTGAAGTATATTCTGGTGCAGTATATGAAAACGTATTATCTATCAACTATTCAAATGTTGACTTTAGTATTGTCAGAATCTGTTACCTGATTACCACTAGGTCAGGCACATGCAAAATGTGTGTCAGGTAAACAGTTTCCGGTTGACCCGCTGCTCTCTGAGTCACACACCTCAATTAAACGCACCAGCAATTCCCAGAGCAAGACAGGACATCCAAGTCTTTCAGTAGAAACACCTTGTAAGGCAGCGGCCACAGAGGTTCTCCTTAGGCTGGACAGATTTATCAGCAGGAAATTCGAGATATCAATGCTCATACTTTCTCCTTTATTTATGGTTGCTGGAGACAGAGGAGCATCAGCAGGGAGCGAATGCACCATACACACAAAGTCAGGGAGTCATTTCATGAGGACATGAAGTACCTATCCCCCCCCACCCCCACCCCCGGAGACAAACAGAGAATACACTGCAGGAAATATCATGAGAAAATGTCATATGTGGTTGAGAGCGGACATCACTCACAAACACTTATCAGGCTCATTGGCGTCTAGCTTAACAAAACATGGTGATTAATGTTTCTATAGTCTCACGTTCAGCTACAGCCATAAATACAAGGACGACTCCAGAACGCTAGGTTTGAAATGAAACAATAACTTTGAAGTTCGAGTGCCACATTTCAGCTTCAAGAGTGTTTGCAGCCATATTTGGTGAACTGTGTCGGAGTCAATTTGTCTTCACAGATGCCCAATTTCACAAACATACCATCACCAAACATACAGAGCAGCAAAGGAGGGTTTTTAATGGCAGACCGTGGAACGCTCCTGAACAGTCAAATCAGTCATCCGACCTCAGTCCAACAGATCATGTTTCACTTGCTAAAGACCAGACAGGTGGAGAAAAGAAAAGAAAACTCCCCGAAAACAAAAGGAAAGATGGCTGCAGTACAGGTCTGCCAGAGCAACACCTGGCGCCTGTTGACAGCTGTGGATCATAGGATTTGCATTCAAACCGGCATTAACTGATTTTTTTTTTTTTTGGCCACATGGGGGCAGCACAAAAAAAAACAGCTTTCAACATGACACCTTTTGGGTTGATAGAATTCATGTGGAGTAGTGTTTTCACCCATTTGATGAATTTAAATCCAATATTTACTTTCCTCTTTGCTCTGATTTGATCTCCACCAACTCCTGAGGGAATTGTCCGGCTCTTTAGCTGCTAAATGTGCCACTGTGTTCACCAGGTAGTCGCTAACCAACCAACACCCCTTTACGTGACACTAAGTCATGTGATCTCGTTAATATAAAAGTTTTGATTAGAGCAGCTTCAAGTTCTATTAACTTGCAGAATTCATTTGTTTTCCCTAAAATCAGACGACTACTTTTGGTATAGTTCCTACACTGTTCATGTAATGTGGATGTATACACCTTCAAATAAAGATAAAAGTCAATGCTTAAACCACATCATCATGGTTACATCTCAAATCCAGTGTACTAGATTACAGAGGCAACACAAAAAAGTACTGCTTTCCTAATACTTTCTCATTTCACTGTAACATGAAGCTGCATGTGGTGATGAAGTCTTCATTTTCCAAACTGCTGCAAAGGAGAAAGACTGTTGCATTGTTGTTTCCAGAACTAATTCATAATTTAAATGAAACATGAAACTTTAAAACATAATGGAAGACTCCTCAGCACAAAGAAAATCCTGACACCCTCACATTTACTATGCACTTTCCCTGCACTTCTTTGCCTGATCTCCTTGCACTTATTGAATAGAGGTAGTACTTGTACTTGTACTATAAATGGATTAATCATTCGAGGATTCACTGCTCTTATTCTTGGCATTATAACGTCCTCAAAACTCTAAACAGTTACCTCTTGTTACCATTCAGGGTCGCCGGCGTGCAGAACTTCAACAGTGTGGGCTCCTCTACAGCACTGACAAGTTACTGTTCATCTGCTGCTCACATTTAATTCTGGCAGGTTGTTTTGTTATTTCACCAAGTAGGGCAGTTTCAGATACATGAAGGGCAAAATAATAGCTCATAATATCCGTCTCTTTCAGTCTCCTGCCCTCCCACTCTCACCATCTTCCTCCTTTTCCTCCCGACTCCTCCCTCACTTCTCCACTCAGCCTCCCTCACTTCTCTTCATCAGACAAGTGTCTCCTCTCGACTCACTCGTCTCCCCCGTTATCACTGAACGGCCAAAAGAGAGAGGAGCAGCTCTTCATCTCAGTTCAGGTAAGAGACGGGTTTAAATTGTAGTTTGCGAGGACACAGGAAACCATGACGTAAAACATTGATCACATTGGTCTTTTCCAAAGTGAAATAACATAAAAAAAAAAACAAACAAAAAAAAAAAAAACAGCAGTTTGTGCTGAAGTTCTGGGTTTGACAGTCAGAAACAAAGTTACTTTCAGTCTATTACCTGAACTGTGTTGCTGGTTAACATGCAGTTAAGAGGCCTTTTCTTCAAAGTTGGAAAATATCCTGTTATTGTCTTGGATCGCAGGAAAGGAGTCAGATAGGAAACAACACTGCTCTGCCAAGAATATGTTTTGTATAAAAAAAATTAAAAAAAACACCTTCAAGTAAACTTTTCTGTCACCACGCTCCACACTGTCACCACAGTCCTGAAAACAAGCTTATTTTAGGACTGTTTAAGGACCCACAGTCATAAAACTTTTTCGGATCTGCCCCACAGCCTGTTGGTTTATCTGAGGTCAGGACTGTTCAAATGTGATTACAAAATAAAATGCAGGGAATTTCCTGTTTATCCAGAGCGATCTAGTAGATTACTAACTGTGTGTGTTTGTGTGTGTGTTTTTGTGTGTGTGTGTGTGTGTGGATGACAGCTACCAGCTGACGTATCTCAAACATTACATGAGCTGTTGCCATAAAAAGTCATTTAACTTTAGAAACGCAGACACTAGTGTGGTGTCCATACAGAGTGTATTCTGATGTCATTTTCCCTGTGTGAGGTGGTTCAGTCATATCTAAGCAGGTACTTTGCATTTTATAATCAGGTCCTTCAGATATCCACTGATGCCAGCGCACTGGGACAAGAGGAGGCAAAGGAATAGCAGTGTGTCACAGCAAACTGGTGCCTCTCCTTTTATAGGTTTTGTTGTTCGTAGCCTCAAGTGCTGCAGATGGTCTCTGTCCACGGAGCAACACTGAACGTTATATACACAAGTCGCTCTCCTGTATGCTCACAGGATGCCTTTCGGAGGAGGAAACAAGTGCGGCTGCTGCCAGAAAACCGTCTACTTCGCTGAGGAAGTGCAGTGCGAGGGGAAGAGCTGGCATAAATCCTGTTTTCTGTGCAGTAAGTATTTCAGTTCTCAGGTAATCTGCTTCATTTGTCCACTGACTCCTGCAATAACTCGTAAAATCACGAGAAGTGCCAGCGAGGAATGCGGAGTATTTGGCATCAGGGAAGGAAAGTAAGCATCCGCAGGTTTTCGCTCAGACATCTTAGCCCTTATTTGGATCCAGCAGAAACGTGACAAAGGCTTGGTCTTCCTTATATGGCAGAGGAAGGTAGACACCCCCCCCCCAGCACAGAAAAGTACTTATCTGAACCAGCTAAGCGCACAGTGAGCAAGCCGTTTTCCTAAACCGTCATGCATAGTTTGTGGTAAAGTCAAAGCTAAACATCTGTGAGGAAATGTCCAGGATTATTTCTGAGTGTCTGTTTTGTTTATTTTGCAGCACTGTAGATACTGATGGCCTAAATAGGAAAAGGGATTAACCATATTTGTACATTTTTTTCTCCCTTCTCTCTGTTGTAAGTGGTCTGCAAGAAGAACTTAGACAGCACAACAGTGGCTGTTCATGTGGATGAGATCTACTGTAAATCGTGTTATGGCAAGAAATACGGGCCAAAAGGCTACGGCTTCGGAGGAGGAGCCGGCACTCTGAGTATGGATACGGGAGAGGGCCTTGGAATCAAGCCTGAAATGTGAGCAACACATCTCTTCCTCCTGTTAAATTAACTGTTGTGAACAGTATAAAGACATACACTGTTGATCCAGGTCAAATGTACATTCTTTATAATGTTTGCATTTACAAAACCGCTTTAAATGAAGGATGAAACGTGGGGATCCACATATCTCTATTACCGCCATATTAAAAAGCTCTGATTTTTTTGCGTACAGACAAGCTCCTCATCGCCCCACAAACAATCCCAACGCCTCCAAGTTTGCCCAGCAAGCAGGGGGCTCCGATGTGTGTCCTCGATGTGGCAGAACAGTATACGCAGCGGAGAAGGTTATCGGAGGAGGCAACGTAAGAAAGGGCCAACTCATTTTCCTCTAAATTAAGAATAAACGTGGGTGATTTATCAGTTCTTTGTATACTTTTGAACTGAACCTAACTCTTTGCTCTCTCTCCTCAGTCCTGGCATAAGGGATGCTTTCGTTGTGCCAAATGTGGCAAAGGACTTGAGTCCACGACCGTCGCTGATCGAGACGGGGAGATCTACTGTAAAGGTCTGTGTCAATCAACCAGGGCTGATACGATTAACGGATTAGATGATGGACAGAAAATGAAGTATTTTGATAATCGGTTATTCATTCTTCCTGCAAAAATGCCAAACCTTCCCTAAATCCAACTTCTAACATTCGAGGATGTGTTCATTTTCTTTTGTCTTATATGACAGTAAATTCAATATCTTTGGGTTTTGGACTGTAAATAACAGCAGTTTGAGCTTTATGAAACTGTAATGAGTATTTTTCACTAGTGATATGTCCGAAGTTCACTCATGCATTAAATCATTAGTTGCAAACCTCATATCAAAACTAGACAAAACAGCCTCCTCATAAAACACATGCATCCTGTTGAATTAAACTGAATTATTGCAATAATGCAATATTTAGCAGTGCAGTACTCACAGTAGCTGTGCCACATGCAGCTTTATTTACTTGCATGATACATTTCAGAAGTCGCTGGTTGAGCATTACCTCAGTTGGCAGAGCAGAACCAGCTCTAAATTACTGAAGACAGAGGCCAACAGCTCAGAAGCCGCTCTGACCTTCTGCCAATTCCTTTATTTGAATTTGAACATCACAGAGTAGAAGCACACATCAAAGTAAACACAAAAGTCTTCTCTATGTACGAGTCGTGTTTCAATGAGCCTACTGGCAACAGTCACTCTCCTGATTCTGTGGATCTGCGACTGAAGGTTAACCTCTGCACAAACTCTTTTTCTCTCTCAGGATTGACTTATCCACAGTGTTTCTCATTTGCTGTCATTTCATGCACAGGTTGCTACGCAAAGAACTTTGGTCCCAAGGGGTTTGGCTTCGGTCAGGGTGCAGGAGCTCTGGCTCACTCCCAGTAAAGCCCGAAGCCTCGGCCCACGTGAGACCGATATCTGGTGCGCTCCGATAACATCGCTTCCAGGATCCTTCAGTCACTATCTTATTTTACTCTGCTCTCTCACTTCAGCTACAGGCGACGAGGAACGACAGAAGCACACAGCTTTTTGTTTTTTAATGTGTTGCATTAGAATCTAGTGTATAATTTTCTAGGTTCAAAAAGATTTCATGCTAAACATTTAAAACATACCGAAAGCTAACTCTGTTTGGATGTGCATATTGTGTATCTTTAAACCCAGTAGTTCACAGCGAGCATTTTAGAGGAAAAGGGTAAAGAATAAAACACTCAAATTGTAATAACAGAACTGAGCAAGTGCTGAAACAGTCCGTGTCGGTGAGTGGGAACAAAATAAGATCAACGTGTTTCAAGACTGACAGCTATGAAGCCCTCCTTACCTCCTTACATGCCAAATGTTGTAAATACCGTCTTAAAATATGCATTATCGCTGAGACACACAATAAATATCACAACAACAAAAAACAGTGGAATTTTTCTTCTTATGCCCCTGTGATGCAACACTTGGCACGCTTTAAACAACTGTGATTGTTCCTTTTTTGTCCCTCTGATCTGATGAAATCAGTTTGAGTGTGTTCATGTGGTCTTGGGTGTGTTTGTTATTGCTTCTAATCATCCTCGCGCAGAGCAAAGTGCCAGCTGTTGTGGTGAACAACGGAGTCGCAGTGCTCGGCCCCGTCTCCGCCTGAGCCCAGGAGTTGGCACACTGACCGGAGTGTCAGGCAGCTGTGGTGGTGGTGGTGGTGTGGGGGTGGGGGTGGTGTGTGTGTGTGGTGGGTGGGGGGGGGCAGCTGTTTGCTTTGGCGCTGACTAAAACATGTGAGAGTCACATCAGCAGCACAACGAGGTCTGAAATCCAGGATGAAAAGATGAAAGTATTACTACACTAAAGACCTCGGATCTTGTTCCAGAGCTTTCAAGTGGTTAGACTGATTAATGTGTTTCATCTCTGACCTTGTAGACATCCTCAACTGGACGTAATGTTTGACTCTTTATGTCCTGCTATTTACAGTATGTGAAAACACCCAGCACAGATTACTGCAAGTCTTTTAAGCTCTTTACCCACCAGAGGGCAGCAGAGAGGCCTGATTGTTGAGGACATGATGATTTTCCAAAACAATAAAAAATACATTGTGTTTGACCTATCTAACATAAGCTGTAAACGCTGACATGTCCGGCTCCCTGTCTTACTCCCCGACAGTCGCAACCCAGCGTTACTTCCAATAAGCATTTCATACTACCACATCATGAACATCCACTGTGTAGCATTACCCCACTGTGTGGACACATGTCCTGGATGCTGCTGCGTCAGGGTCGATGGTAATGTAAGCAGCTCTGACCTGCCAGTAATGGTTTTGAAGATTGTTAGCTGTAATAGCTTTATTAGCGCTATAGCTACAGCTAATACAAGAGGCACTTAATCAATTATGTCCTGCCATGATATCCATGACAAAACAACATGTATGTTCACAGTACAAGTAGTTTCTATTAAAATAAAAACTCATTAATATGCAAATAGATGCAGCAAGACAAAATAATCAGATCATCTGCATATGTTTTATCTGTGGTGTCAGTATCAGGTTTTCTACTATGCAGGCCTACTGTTCTTATGTTGACAAGACAAATCTGTTCCTCCTAATTAAGCCAATTCGCTCATTAATTAGCAAAGATATTTTTAATACTACCATGTTTGTATTCACATGCTACATATCTGACATGAATTCGAACTTGTTACCTTAAAGTGTCGAGGAAATCAGTGTCTCCTGATTCATATGCAAATGTATGCAGACAAACTGATCAGACCTCCCTCCTCCATATGGAGCAGGCTATCTGTGGTGCAAGTATGAAGTTTCTGCTGTGTGGCGTTCTTTAAGTATCCTGAATGCGTCTACAGAGACACAGGCGGCAGCGAGACGACATCATGTCCCACACACCAGGTGCTATACATCTACGAGAAGCCTGCTTTTGTCTGAAATCAGGGACACGACGCTTCTGATGTTGCTACGTATTTCGGGTGTCACATATGAACAAGTACACAATTTACTTTTTTTGTGACTTCCATAATTCACTTTACAGCAAAGTCTCACATGTGAAAACTACTGTACTGCAAACTGCTATATAATCCCCTGGCATCTGTATGTACGAGTCAGCGCTCAGTTTCCTAGAGACAGTCCAGCAAACACCCGCAGCACTTTGTTAATCCTGCTGCCATATATACTGTGGAATTATAACCAGCTGCCGTTAGCCAACAGCCTGGATCTCAGAGTCATAAATCGAATCAGCAGCACAGAGTTTAAAGTCCTGACTCAGCGAGAGCAAAAAGAACAGTCCTGCAAAATTTAACAATCTAACTCCACTAATAAAAAAAAAGAAACAAGAAAAAAAGAATAATCACTTTTGCTCAAACGGTGCAGCAGTGATTATCTTAGACATCCACAGATTGATTTCACTACAGAGACTGATTCTTCAGCAGCAGTATTTCCCACGGTAGAGTCCCATTCTTGATGCAAAGCTGAATAGTGACTCTCGATAAATATGAACCTGTAATAAATAGCAGGGTTGGTGGCCCTGAGTCACTATGCTCTCATGAGGCTGATAGCTCGCTAGTTATCCCACTGTCCACTGACAGCAGGAGACGCTGCAGCAGCCACACACGTTACCAATATAATGCATGTGTTTAATATGAGTTAATGATATTGTAATTTTCACTTAGTGTGCAATATACAGAGGAGTGACAGCTTAGAGTAAAACCATGAAACTGGACTCACGTAGCGCTTTTCTAGTCTTATCAGCCACTGAAAGCACTTTCACCTTCACACATACTTTTCCCCTACACAGCAGTATAGCGCTTTTTTTTAACCACACACGCACATTCACACAGCCATGATACATCATTGGGGCAATTTTGGGGTTCAATATCTTGTCCAGTCCAAGGACACTTCGAAATCAAACCAGAGACTTTCCGGTTAGTGGACGACCCCCTCCGTCTCCTGAGCCACAGTGGTGGCAGGTTGGTTTTCTCTGCCCCCCGGGTTTCAACCCAATCAAACATCTATGGGAGATTTTAGACTGATGTCTCTGTCAGATAGCCACCATTATCAAAAACACCCGGTCGGGCAACTGCTTTTGTTACCTTGGAGATCAAAGCTGCTGTGTCATTAAGAAGTGTTTCTATGTATATGAGCGACTTTCAAACTCGGCTTCTAAGTCCATGCCACTGCTGCAAAAAACTAAATCTGTAAGACAAACACAGGCCAGACACACAAGTGACTTCATGGATTAATTTAAGGATTTATTGTCTTTGCATGAGTGAACTGAGCACTTAGGCGTGTTCACACAGACCGGCGCATGCATGTGTTTACATCTTATTCCACAGACACAAGCGAAAACAAACCCCGATATGAAGGGAGCGCGCACACATCCAAGCCGCTATCAAAGAGTGGCAGCATCACATGTTGCTGCAATTTGTCTAAGTTTAGTTGTGAGGCCTTAGACAAATGTACACTGGAAACTGCATTCCTGCCTTAAAACCACGGCTTAACATTGTCTGCAGCTATTATCCTAATCAGACCAAGGGGGCCCTGCAGTCTCGGTGTGGGGTGGGTGGGGGGGTTTCCAGCATAGCTCTCGGTAGCCAAGAGAAAATCTCAGAAAATCATCCACAGTGACAGGACTAACTATTTGGCTGTGGGAAAAACAAAAGGGGGCTTTAGCAGTCCGTGAGAAAGGAGAAGCGATCCTACCAAGGGTTTTAAATAATTCAGCCACGCAAGAGAGGAAGAACAGATTAACAACTGACTGAAAACTGGTGAAGTGAGAGTTGACAAGGATGATGTTCATCCCGTCCTGGCACACATCAGACTTCACTAACTTTATTATAAAAGAAGCAGAGAGCAGCGATCTGTCAACACAACACGAGCATCACAATCACTGCTATCCTAAGACCACCCCCCTCTCGTGTGCGTGTGTGTGTGTATATGTGTGTGTGTGTGTGTGTGTGTGTGTGTGTGTCTATTTAAGTCTCCTTGTGATAGAGAGGAGGGACAAAGGGGAACAGGAGATAAATATCCTGCTGTGTTCTTCTCTGCATCACTTTGTGTCTGTCTGCATCCACAGCATCATCACAGACAGGTAAGACCAGACATCTGCTGCTCTACATCTACAAAACTCTGGTTATTTCTTCTGAGACATGAAGTTACAATAAGTCTCCTGTGTGCTTTAGTACTTACAGCTGCTCTGGTCTAAGAACTGGATTTTATTTTTGTAATTTAATTAGTTTGTTTAGACTTTAAATAAAATATTCATGTTATTTTCTAGATGATTTGAAAACAACATCTGAAACAGCAAATAGTCACATTTCTGCAGCATTTCACACCTTTTGCTTAAAATAGCGGAAATGAGCCTATTAATCATCATAATCATCATAATAGCTGCAAGTTAATTTTCTGTCAATTAACTAACTGATTATTCTTTGCGATTCTAATTACATTATAAAAGGTTTAAAGATTCTTACAGCCATGACGACTCTAAATCAGTTTCCTGGATTTAATGTCACATGATCAGGTCATTTAACTGCAGAGCAATGAATGGGCAACATGGATCAAATCTTATCACAGTACATCTACTTTTCTATTGCAACATTGTGAAAACAGTTGCATTTCTGAAAAACTAATAAATAACCAGACAGAAAAATATATGTATATAAAAATACAATAGTGTTGATTTGCCTAATGAAGAAATCCCCGCAGAGACATGGCATGCTCAAATCTAGAGCTGTAAGGATTAGTCAATTAAATGATGAATAGAAAAATAACTGGCCACTAGTTTGATAAATTGATTAATCATTAACAACAATTTTTCAAGTATAAAATCCAGTTCCAGCTTCGACACTGTTTTGATTTGCTGTTTTTCTATGTCTAATGTTATAAACTGAATCATTCGGTTGGAAAATGTCGGCCAGACTAAACAAGCAGTTTGATCTTGTAGACTAAATGATTAATCAAGAAAATAATCAGAAGATTGATCAGTAATTTTTCCTTTTTCATCTTTCTGATATTTATCAAGGCGCCAGTTTCTTGATGAAGTCAGCTCTGCATCCTTAAAAACAAATATTAGTTCAGCTTTGTTCCGAGAATTGGGGACCCTGCCTGTATCTGTGTCTTTATCCAGGGGAAAAGTGGGGGTGAAAGTGGGAAATGTTATCTATCTGGAATAGCTGTCGTGTTAGGGGGGGTCTTGCATGTGTCTCCCTGTCTGCCATCACTTTGCTCTCTGGCAGGCGAGAGTGCTATCTGCACTGGGAGGTGACCGGCTGACTCTGTCCGGCTGGCTCTGTGTGTAAAGACGTAACGATGACTGATAAACGAAACTAAACAAAAACAAAACACGAGAAAAGTCCCGTCCATTCATTTCAAGATCAATCTATGTCTATATATACTGTGCGTTTCCATTCTGGTAACACTATACGGTCGACTGTGTGGTGGAATGTATGTATAGTGGAGCTAAAATGGAAACCATAGTAAAGACCCCTGGGGCTCTGAACCCAAGTGGTCCCCACTGTCGAGCACTTCAGAGGCAAAAGGTTTTATTTTTGTCTTGCAGGGGGAATTGAAATAGCCAAGATGCCTGAGAAAGCGTAAGTGTATTGTGTTTCTGTTATTTTTTCCATTTCCAAATGAGTGTATCAGTTTCACAGAGCAAATGGGATTTATCCACAGAAACACTTGATTAATTAAAGATAACATGGCCATTATCAATTATCAGATACAATTCATTAAGTTTTTATCTACGACTGAATGCTAATGCTTAATTTCTGTGTCTATTATGTTCTTTCTTTATTTTACACCCACAGACCGGAGGTAAGATTTCTAATAATCTATTCATTTAATACAGGCATTAATAGCAACATTATCACCAGGCTGATAAAATGTCACACAAAATAAATAAATAAATAAATAAAACCCGTCTTTTTGCAGAGGAAATCTAAAATCTCAGCTTCTCGCAAGCTCATGCTGAAGGTGAGTTTTTCGGGTCACGTGTGCACGGACAGAATCCAGAGTCAGAATAAGATTGAATCTAACAGTTTGAATTTACGTTGTGCGTGGTGTTTCAGAGCCTGATGGTAGCCAAGGCTAAGGAGGAGCTGGAGCAGGAGATGGAAGAAAAAGAGGAAGAAAAGACAAAGTACCTGGAAGAAAAATCTCCTCCGATACAGACCAGAAGCATGTCCTTAGCAGAGCTGAGGGTATGGTTTTACTCCTACTGTACCACTATTTGCAAAGTAAAACTCTGTAAATGATTCATGTTTACCAAAATAATGTTGCCATGGAGCTCTGTTACTTCAGTCAAATTAACTTCTAACCCCTCCTGTTTTCTATGCAGACGTTATGTGAAGAGCTGCACGCCAAGATAGATGTGGTGGATGAGGAGCGGTACGATATTGAGGCCAAAGTCTTGCACAACACCAGAGAGGTAACAGAAGGCCAGTTAAGAAAGACTGTAATAGAAAAAAAAGCACAGACAAACATATTGCGAAGCCGCAGCCGTACAATGATGCAGTCCAACAAGTGCCGTGTGTCGTAACCTCTAAAAAGTTCAGCTTCAGACTGACTCCACAAGAGCACTGAGTGTTAAACTGAGTCACTTCACGCTCGACTTTCTCCACAGATCAAAGACCTCAACATCAAGGTACTTGACCTGCGAGGGAAGTTTAAGAGACCCAGCCTTAGAAGAGTGAGGGTTTCAGCTGACGCCATACTGCGCTCACTGCTGGGCTCAAAACACAAGGTCTCTTTGGATCTGCGGGCCAACCTCAAATCAGTCAAGAAGGAGGACACAGAGAAGGTGGGTGTGCTTTTGCTGATGTTCTTACTGAGGGTGACTGACATGGTGTAAAACAGATTAATAAAACTTTCTTAAATTGCAAAAATAAAAAAGAAACCACTGGTGCAAAGGGTCAAAATATGAGATTGTGTTTAGCTGTAGTTAAACCAAACATCTGATTGAGTTAGATGCTTTTAAGTGTGCAAAGGATCCTTTTCTCTGAAGACGACTACCAGCACAGCAGAGACTCTCCAAGGTGAACACTAAACTAAACTGTGTACTGTGTGTGCTGCAGGAGAAGACTGTGGAGGTGAGCGACTGGAGGAAGAATGTGGAAGCCATGTCGGGCATGGAGGGCCGCAAGAAGATGTTTGATGCAGCAAAGGGCCCCAGCCAGTGAATGAAAGAGCTGCCCTTAATCATCAAATACCATCACCTGCAGTCCAAAGAGCCGAATACAGCACAAAACAGAAACACTAATGCTTCACAAGGTCACGCTTTTTTTGGCGTTTCATATTCAGTATCTTTTCCATGTAACACTCACATTTTCTGTGAGTTTTGTTTCATTATTACTGAAATAAAGCAGTAAATGAAGACTCTTTTTTTTTATGTTGCAAGAGAGACCGCTTTGCATTCACACTCATCAATCAGCTGTGACATTGATTACATGCTTAAGTGCAGTTTTATGCATTGCTTGTCCTGCAGCACAAACCACAAGCCTTTCAGGATAATGTATGCAAAATGTAATCCAAGTCAGATAACTCAAAAACTGCAAATAATGCTGAAATAGCAACATACTGTATCAACACAGTCTTCACAAAAATAGATGGATGTTACAACTGAAGCCTCATTTCACCTCTGTATACAAAACAAGTCTCTACAAGGACATGCAAACATGGACAGCCGCACGTGAACAGAAATCAGCAGCGAGCAGATGCCAATACATCAGCAGCAGGAGAGCTAGCACGGGTTAGCACAAACAGTAGGCTAGGCTACATACCTGCTGTAGCCTGGTGAGGAGGAGCAGCCATACCTGGCATCTCAGTGGGGAGTAAATCCTGTGGTTGAAGTCTGTCTGTCAGGGGCAGCAGCAGCAGGGACCCGGGGTATTAGGAATCTGCAGCTCGAAGCTCACGGTGAGTCTCTGAGCAGCAGCAGCAGCAGCAGCAGCAGCAGCAGCGGGGAGCCACTGATCCACAAATCTGAACTGAAACACCGTGACTGGGCTGTTACTGAGTCAGTCTCACCGTTACATGTTAAAGAGCCTCAGCAGGTAGACGGGGGTCCGCAATTTAAAGAGTCCGCCTCACTGCGAACAGTGCGTTTGATTTGTGCTGCAACAAGTGGAAGTTTGTCACGTGTGAGTGCAGCAGGGAAACTTGGTCCTCTGCCCAAATGTTCATATATTTAACAACTGTATTTGAATGAATAATAAAATTTACAAAGCAAACTAAGATACCAAAAAATAAATTAATATATGAAAATAGAAAATTACATTTTGTGGTATGTGTCCTGAATTATACAATTACATTCATGTTTATACAATATTCATAATATATTGGAAATATTTCCATGATAAAATTAAATCCAACTTGCTCAGATAAATGGTGTTTGTATCTGTAACAGGGATGCAGGGGCGGAGCCTGACATTGTAAACAAAAGCGGAAGTGGCGTCGTCAGCAGACGATCACATGTTTTCCATAAGTGGCCGAGGGATATAAGTCGGTTTTCGTTCAGAGCTGCGGAAAGTTTGTCAATGTGTGTAAAATGCAAATCCACACGTGTAGAATTGATATCCTCAAATGCAAATAAGCATGAATAATAACTGTTAGGTATATATTCACAAATGCTTTTCATTTATTTGTAAATTAATTGAATGTAACCACAGACTTTATTTATTTTATTATATATGTATTATTTATTTGTTTGTCTATTTGCATCTGTTTTATATTTGCAAGATAATTTGTGAATTTGCAAATGTATTATTTGTATTTGTGGAAGGTGTTTTATATTTACAGATTACACATTTACTCACTGATGGTCAATCTGTTCACAAAAATAATATTGAGGCAAATCTACCTCCATACCTGTCCCTCTTCCTCCACACCTGCTTTTCCCACAAGTTTTCACATGTCATTTCCTTTTCTCTCCTACATACTTTCCTCTCTTTCTCTCTCACTCCTCCCTTCCTACTCTCTCCTTCACTCTTTAAATCCAGACTTTCTTTTCTGCCCTCTTCTCACGCGTTCTCCAACCCTCTCCTCCCAGTTTTTCATAACATATTTTCCTTCTCTCTGCTCCTAACTTTAGCTTTTCACTCCTTTCTCACTCCCTTCATCATCTGTTAACCATTTCCTGCTTCCTCTCCTGGTCTTCAGGTTGCCCTGTCCTTTCCCTTGCTCTCTTGCTCTTTATCCCTCATGGCTGGCCTAGTGATACGCACCAGGTGCACACATTCACCACTAGAGGGCAACCTAAGCACATCTGACAGGTGAACTGTCCAAACTGTTCCTGTCAACAATTAAACACCTAACTGATTCCTTACCAGCAATTGCAAGACAAAGATGACAAGGCATCAGGGAGGAGATGCCAAATTCACAGTTTGCCAGCTGGCACATGTACACCCTCAGGGCAAGAGCACCCATGGGAGTGGTACATTTCAATTTTTATTTTTTTTCCCAGTGCAGATAAAAATAACACATGTACTTCACACCAAGTAAAAATTTCAGAAATCACTGCATTCAGTGTTACCCTCATTTATATAACAAATTATGTCTGTCAAAGAGAAACATTTAAATTGGCTCCAAAGCTCAACTCAACAGTATTGAGAGGGATTGGTTGGCACGACCAGTTAAAATACTAAAGCTACAGTACATGCATCACTTCTCTTGCGCAAACTTGGCTTTTAGTGAGAATTTCAGGAGGCTGCTTTTGTGTTTTTATCAGTGCTTTTTCAGTTCAAGTCATGTTTGTTTTATTTGTCTGATATTTAATTCAGATTCCCATGAGTCAAAAGCTGATTTAACTTATTTCTCTGTTTTGCACATTATGTAAATATCTTTGTAAATATCTCTGCAAATCTCGACAAATGCAAATACTTGTACATACCCTCTTATTCATGGTTGAGCTGTTATTTTCTACTTTATTCTATTGTATATTATATATTTGTTTTTGTTTTTCTTCTATCTAATTTTTTCTATGCTGCTGTAACAAGTGAATTTCCCTGGTGTGGGATCAATAGAGGCTTATCTTATCTTATCTCATCCGCAATTAATTTATGGGTATTACCAAAAACATAATCTCCAGTAGTGTTAGCCACATCCTATCTCCTCTCTTCTACTATCCTGTATTGTTGTTGAAACTAATTCCCTACTCTTAAGACATATATTTTGTCCTGCAGTGTACTGTGCTATACAGCAGTGATCATTTTCCCTCTCTTCCAGTGGTGGCAGGTGAGGAGGAATAACATGGACTCTGATCAGGTCTGGACAGGAGGTCTGTAGTGGAGGGTAAACTTATTTTAATCTAGTCTATATTATGTGGTTTGTGTTGTTCATGCATCATTTTGTTTGACATGAATGGTTCTGGGCAACAGTATATTTAGTTTGCCTAATTCATAATTTACCTTATTTCAATGTCGTGTTTGTAGTTCCCAGACTTTGCAGACCATTGCTGTACCAGGTGTTTCCCTACGGCAGTGAAGTTGTTCTACTTAGATCCTTTACTTCAGTTAAAGTACCAGTAAAACAATATAGAATGACTTGATTACAAAAGGTGCTGCACTGAAAATTTTACTTAAGTAAAGTTACAGAAGTATCAATAACAAAATACTTAAAGTTATGCAGATTGGCCCTCTTCAAAGTGTTATTGTATAATATGCAGAAATGAAGAGTATTTACATTTACTCAAGTACTGTTCTTAAGTATAATTTTGAAGCACTCTAAGTATTTCCATACTACTTTATCCTTCTACTCCATCGCAGTTCTGTTCATTTTTACTGCAGTACATTCAGTTTACAGCTGTAGTTGCAAGTTCCTTTTTAGGTCAAGAAAAGATGATAACACACTTGATAACAATATAAATACAATATAAATAAATAACAACATAAAACTACAAAATATGAGATTAAGGAGTAATTCCCAACCTTTTTTTGGCTTTTTGGCTTGTGATGCCTCACAAAAAAGCAGCGTATACTTGGGGCCCCTTGTCATGTTTCAGACGTCTATTAGTTGTTAGCAGCTTCACCAAAGAGACGTTTACCCTCTAAACCTCTCAGACAGTTTCATTTGAACTGTTTGAGGCCCAAAGCAGCAAAATTATTACTTTATTATACAAACAAAATCTAAGATTAGTCAAGTTAGAATAGTCAAAAGAAAAAACAATCAAACAAAAAAAACCCCTCAGATTTATCTTGTGACCCAGTGAACCACTGGACCCTAAAGTCCACTTGCATATTAAGTAATTAAAAGTAGTTTCACTTCAACCAGCTTTGACACTAAAGTGATATTCAGCACTGATGCATCAGGATCAAAAGTCCAATAATGTCATATATAATAATAAATCAGTCACAGAAGACATTAGTCTGCAGGATAAATACTTTTACTTTACATACTTTAAAGGTATGTTGCTGATAATACGTCTGTGCTTTTATTTTGGTAGGATTTTAAATGCACGACTTTTTTTACATTGTTGTATTTGGACTTTTACTTAAGTGAATCATGTTATTATTTCTTCCATCTCTGATATTATATTAAATTACCATTTCTGACATAACATAATGTTTAGGCAGTTTTTTATGCTGTAGCTGGTGGGGGTGGAGTTATCTTATTTATAGACTGTAGTTTAAATGATGCATTAGCTCATCAAAGGGTTTGGATGAGTTTTTCATCTTAAATGCACCTAGTAGGAGTCAACTAACTGTGGTGGAGTAAGTCCAGTATTTACCTCTGCAAATACAGTGAAGGAGAAATAAAAAAATACACACATTGTGTAGAAATGCACCAGTAAACAGTAGTTGCTTTCAATTACTACTGTTAGCGGTAGTTATCGTGGGGAGTACTTGAACCAGCTGCACATACACCAAAAAAAGCGAGCGGTATTTGTCAAGACAAGTAAGGGAAAGTGCAAAGACTGCGGGTTGATAGTAGACTACGGTTGAGTCTGGCAGGTCTATTGTGGCTGTATGGGTGCGGTCTCACTGGGCAGGGCAGGGCAAGGTGCGCTTTTATTACTTCACACAGCACCGACTCTCCGCAGCTGACGGGCGTTGGAGGTTGTTGGGCTTCACGGACGGTTTACAAAAACAACAAAAAAAAAAAACACAAAACAGAAAAAAAAAACAAAAAAACATGACGAGTTTGGATCCGCTGAAATCAGTCATTTCCATCGGGAATGTGGACGACACTTCGCTGGCGGTGCCGTCCGTTAACCAGTACGGAACAGGGCAGCAGCGCGTCCTGGAACAAGTGCAAACTATCAGGAGGACCAAGTCGAGGCAGTTCAGCAGCAGGAGCGGATCCGCTTCTTTATCTCCAACAAGTAAGAGCACAAGGGCCGTGGATACGACCCAGGACACAGAGGGTTTTGGAGGTTTTAGAAATTCGAAGAGATTTATTTATTTATTTTATTTTTTAGCTTAAAAACTTTTTAGGCTTGTTCCTGTAAGGATCAGTATTTCTCCTGCAGCTGGAGAGAGCTCTGAAACACCATTATTTTGAGACATAAACCTGTAATGCTTCAGACAAAGTTGTGGTTGTTTTAGTTGGAGTTTACAGTTTTGGTTGTGTTGTGTTACAAGGTTGACTTATGAAATCTGCAAAAAATAGAATTAAAACACTGAGGTTATGTCATTTGGTTTCCTGGATTTGTATATACTTACTTATATACTGTTAATGTTTGATGAATTTAGTTTACTACCATTTTGTAAACCTAAACCTACACATGCTGGGTGCTTGGGAAATGGGAAAACTTTTATGTTGGTGAATAAAAATTTAAAAGTTTTAAAAAAAGAGATCTTTTTGATTTGTGGTCAGTTTTTTTTTTCTGAGAGTGGTTAGTGAAAATAAGGAAAAAGAAGAAGACACCTTTAATTTAAAATTCAGAACAAAACCTTTTAAAATCAGAATAGCAACAGTGGATTATTTTTATTTTATCTTAATATCCGGAAGTCAGATTTGAAAAAAAAGAAAAGAAAAAAAAATCAAATGGAGTTATAGTTCATCATAGGATACAAGTGTTTATTGTTTAAACATGATAAATAGAATGTGCTAATTAAAAAATAAGGGCATGAAGTGTGACATTTACATATATATTAAACACGAATACATCCATTTCAGATCCTACTATTTACAGTTAGGTCAGACTTGCCGGGAGGTAACTGAATACATAACAAATTTTCCTTTTTCCTTAGACAGAGGCAATACATTAGCAGCAATGGTCTGTTGATATGATAACAGCTGATGACCCTGCACATTTCTCCTCAGGCCCTGTGCATGACTCTGTGTTCGGGGATGCTTTCAAGTTACAGTCCAGCACATCTACTGGCACTGTTTTCATTGGGAATGGCTTCTCTAAAGCTGTAAGTTATAGGGTTTATTTGTATTTTGTTTTTTGTTTTGTTTTTTTCACTGTAAGAATGACTTATTGTAATATCAGTGTTGTTGTAGAGAAAATAATGTGACTCTGAGGCAGAGCTGCAGCCACAGCTCAGGACTGTACCTTGGATTTTTAAAAACCTGATTAGGAATTAATATTCTACAACTTTGCACAAGTTACAGATGGTGTTTTGTGAACCAGATGTTGGTCTTATTTAATATTTAAACTAGCACTTCAGCATTTTAACCACATTTCAACAGATTGATCTTCTTTTTTCTCAATTGAATCATTGTTTTATCTATTAAGTGTCAGGAAATTGCCAATTATAGTGTCCAACAGCCCAGGGCTTTGTCTGATTATCTGTCCAAAACCCAAACAGATTTAATTGACTGTCACAGGATAAAGAAAATTATATTATCCTGACATTTGAAAAGCTGGAACCAATCAATCAATCAAATAATTGTTGTAAATGTTGTAAAATATTTATTTTATTTATAATAAAATAAAATACAATGTATAAGATTTTATGCATTTTTTTGGTGGCCAGTCAAAAATGTCATGCGGGGGAACTTTTTACTCCAGACCTAAATCCCGCCTATAGCCCTGGTCTGAAGGGAGTACTGAGAACTAACTTGTAACTCCCAGTAAATCAAAGTGATACATTTCACCACTATTTGTGTGAATTTTACAGAAATACACAAGAAAAGATGATTGATAACACGATTTGATGAATTTTCTATTAGTTTAGTATAGTAGGTATTGTATACCATAGCGTATAGTGGCGGCCTAATACCGATAATAAGAAACAGGGGCTCAAAAATGAGTTGTCCCCAGTTGACTTTCCTCCTGTTTCTTTCTCAGAAATCCATTTCCAGATACTTCCAGAGTCTCTCTGTCTCTTCACACAAAAATCTGTTTACCAGCCTCTGCCTTAGAAGCAGCCAGTCATTCATATAACCACCCGCAGGGTTCCTCACCAAAAAGATTGCCAGCTCAGATGTCAGTCACTCTGTCTCCTTGCTTTGCTGCTTTCATTACAAACACATGTATTCTTTGGCTCTGCAGCTCAGCCTAGAGAAAAGCATGAACCGACAACCAGTCAACTTTTCCAAGGGATCCAGTGTGAAGATGAACAGAGCAGCTTCTACCTATCATTATGAGAGGAGTTACGCTCCTGTCAGCTCCATAGCCGTCGGTCAAACCAACACCACCCGCAGTGAGCCTGACCTGGCCTGGCAGCACTCTGTGCCAAAACGCTCTGTTCCTCTGCAGAGGTTCCTCTCCAGCAGGGGCACCCACAGGACAGACAGGTCCACTAGTCAGTATATAACCACCAACATGGGCCAGCTTCCATCCTTTATGAATGGCACAAGTCAGATCAAAACAAACAACCAGTTCATTTATGGCCAAATTGACTCATCTAAACAGCTTCCAAAGCTTTCAGTCCCTGACGGTACAATCAAGGGGAAAGGAGAGTCTGGGGGGTGAGTGGGAACCAACTAGCTTCATTTTCTTAATTGTGCATGATATAAATACAGTTTTGTGTATAAACAAATTGAGCTTGCATACTCACAGTGTGTATAAATAGGATTTGGATTGTAATTTTTTATTTCTACAGCTACACGACTGGGATCAAAGAAGTTGCTGATATCACTATGAAGGAGGCTGTGGAGTGTCTTTCCAGTGACGATGAGACCTTTCAGCACTGTGGCGCTTCCTACATTCAGCACAACACTTTCATTGATGACAAGGCTAAAGATGAGGTGGTTTGTCTTGTTATGTTATCATGCTGTCAGACTGCAGTTGTGCCGCTGACATTTTTTTTACCTGCCATTTCTCAAAGTCAGCCATGATACAATTCATTGAAATCCGTTCTAGGAAACATAGGCCTCATATGGAACCAGTCATTTAAAATAATTGTTTAAAATAACTCTTTGTCACTTAGCTGTGCTAAATCCTGAAGCCTTCTTGTCTCGCAGGTGCTACAGTTCGATGGGATCCCCCCTCTGGTGGGTCTGCTGCAGAGCCCCAATTCACAAGTGAGCCAGACAGCCTCGGCTGCCCTTCGTAACCTGTCCTTTAAAAACAACAGCGCCAAGGAGGCAATACATCGCAGCGGTGGCATCACAGAGGCTGCGGCTCTGCTCAGAGATACAGACTCTGTAGAGATACAGAAACAGCTGACAGGTACCACTTGGCTCTGAAACATGGAAACCTGTTCATGTACTGGACATATACTGCAGACACACACGTAACCATGCAACCATGTAATTTAATATTTGATTGACACGCTGCTTCCTATTTTCTTCCCAGGTCTGTTGTGGAATTTGTCCTCTACAGACGACCTGAAGCCAGACCTGCTGAAGAGTGCTTTGCCTGTCCTAATGGAGCGTGTAATCCTGCCTTACACTACAGGTCCTAACCGCGCCACCCAAGACCCTGAGCTTTTCTTCAACGCCACTGGATGTCTAAGGTAAGCAATGAAATACAACTGAGCACTTGATATAATTAGGATCTCATTGTAGACCAAGTAGTAAATACACTGCTTTATATTTATACCATGTTTGCTATGCGTCAGGGACCTGAGTATCACTCTCCTCTAGAGATGTATGTAGTTTGAATATGACATTATGTATGACAAAAGATTTGTGATAAGCCAAGGTCCCAGTACAAAACTGGTTAGGTTTGCTCTCTTAACATATTTGAACAGTCAGTATTAGTCATAGAGGAAGTGAATGTTTGGAAGGGATGATGTAAGTCTGCCTCAAACACTGTAGTGGTTTTGCTACTTCGACTCTTGGACACACACTTTTTTTTTTCTCTTGACGTCTTTACAAATTACAACACCAAACTTTGACACTACCGACAGTAGATTTGTGCATTTACATCTGTATTTTTTTTTGGTGTATAAGTTAGAGTTACATGATTATCTCTATAAAAATTCCAATAACCACCACTGCATTGAACATTATCCACCAGGACCAAAATAAATGACAAATGGATCTATTTGATCGAGCCCTCCACTTTGAGCAACATCTTTTTTTATTTTATTTTGTAACCCGTATGAGACATATACACAGATTTTGAGTCTAATCTAAATTGAGTCTAATATAGCAGCCCTGCAATAAAGCCTATCTTCAAAGCGGTTACACTGTTGTAAAAGTTTTTTGTTGAAACTCTTACAGAGGTGTTAATTCACCTTTATAGGTAGGTATATTGTAGGTTTTCTGTCAAGCTCATTGCTTTTGAAAAAGCCCCCTCAGGCGCTTGGAGCTCTGACATTATAATTGTGAGTTTTAATTTTCGGCGGCACCATCAATCAAACCATAGTTACAGGGAGTAAACGTAATCTTATCTGGTGTATCAGCAAACATGGAAACATCTGCAATGTAAAACTTGTCACTGACTTCCTGAATCATTCAGAGAAAGCTGTAATTGTTGTTTTATTCGTGTCCCTGACAACACAAGATTACTGTTCTTTAGTTTTTAGGTAAAGCGTAATAAATTATTAACGTTTCATCAAATGAAATAAACCCAGTACGATAATAATGGTAGTAGAACTTTGTATTTTACATTAATAGCCATGATTCAAATCTTAATAAAAATGCATTGTGTGTGTCTCTAATAGTATTGTTGTCTATTCTGTAACATATCCAAACATTGTTGTATTTTTATTTTCAACAGAAACCTCAGCAGTGCAAAGCAGAACAACAGACAGGCGATGAGGAAATGTCGTGGGTTGGTCGACTCTTTGGTCAGTTACATTAAAGACTGTGTGGAAGCAGGAAAACCAGACGATAAGGTGAAACAAACAAACAAAAGATATTTACTTACAATGTCTACTAATCCTGCCGTCTGTGTGTTCCTCTTTCTCTCTCGTTGTCTCTGTCACCCACATGTCACACGAGAAAAAGATCTAAGCGCTGAGGGCCAATGAATAAGGTCTGTGAAATAGGGTGGGGCTTGGTCATTAAGAGCCTTAAAAGTAATCAGCAAGGTCTTAAATTGAATTCTGGAGTGAACGGGGAGCCAGTGAAGATCAGCTAAGACTGGAGTGATGTGCCAGTCAACATCCTTGCTGCTGCATTTTGGACCAACTGCAAGGGAGATAATGAAGATTGGGGAAGGCCTAAATACAAGGAATTACAACAGTGCAGCACCCTTCACACCAGCCCACTGTTCACATTACCAAAACACTGAACACATTACCAGATTGCATTACATTGTACAGCTGTTGCTCCTCTTGTGTTTAATCATGTCGTTATTTAATTGAATGTATTTGTCAGGATGCATCTAGTCAAGTTACAAAACACACAGGACTCTTTGGTGTTACATGTGCCCTTACGTTATGTATTGTTCTTCCTGTTGAAACAGTCTGTAGAAAACTGTGTGTGCATCCTGCACAACCTGACATTCCAGCTGGAGGCAGAGGCTCCGACTCTGTTCAGCAGGATCACAGCTTTGGCCAAGACTGTCAACAGGAGGAACAGTGAGGGCGAGACGGGCCCCATCGGCTGCTTCAATCCGCAGAGCAAATCACCTGATCAAGAGGTGAGAAGAGCCAGGTGTTCACCAAAGACGATTAAGCAGCATACTGGTGCTTTAGGCTCTGTCCAGCCAATTCTCAGTAATTTAGGTGTTGTTTTTGATTTGGCAATGTCCTTGGAGCATCTCGCCAAACAATTAATTAGAAACTGCTTCTTCCAACTGAGGAACATCTCCAAACTAAGAAATCTGGCGTCAAAGGCCAAATTGGAAATGATCATTCATGCTTTTATTTCGTCTCGTTTGGATTATTGTGACAGTCTACTTGTTTGAATAAGAAAGAGCTTGACCATCTCCAGATTGTTCAGAACTCTGCTGTAAGGTTTTTAACACGCACAAGCAAAAGAGCACACATCACACTTGTTTTAGCATCACTTCACTGGTTACCAGTTCATTTTAGAATTCATTTTAAAATTCTGGTCCTTACTTTTAGAGCCTTGCACGGACAAATTCCTTCTTACATCTCTGACTTGATACAACTTCACACTCCTGCCCGCAGTCTTAGGTCATCAGGTCAGAGGCTGCTAGTGGTTCCCTCTAACCACTGTAAGACCCGGGGGGGCCGATCCTTTCAAGCAGTGGCACCCAGACTGTGGAATGCACCCATTATATTTCTGTCTTTTACTATTTATTTTGAAGCACTTTGTGATTTTTATCTGTGAAAGGTGCTAAATAAATAAACTTTACTTACTTACTTACAAACACACGCACTGATGTATGAGGGGTGATTGGTAAGTTTGTAGTCTAAGGTAAAAAGATGATTATACAGCTCTTAAATGCACATGCAGTTCAACTCTTTGAGTGATTATGTGGAAGGTTTAAAGTTCTGAAGTTCTCTACTACGACTGAATTCAGCAGCCCTCTTTACCATGCTGTAAGAAGGGGAACCCTCCCCGAGTGCTGCCAATACCTCCTTGGGTGATCATCCCTTGAGACTGAGGTAGTGGATGACTGCACGAAAGCCGATATTGTCCATTCTCAGAAGGTGCTGCAGCAGATAAAGCCTGGAAGATGACCCCCGTCCTGCAAGGCCGGTGTCTTGCCATTTTCAGTTACCTGAAACAGAAATACCACAAAAGTTACCAACTACAAACTCTTTCTGCATAATCACTCAAAGAGTTGAACTGCAGTTCATATCTCATCTCTAATCTTCCTCTGCCTTAAGCCACAAACTTGTCAATCTCCCCTCATATACCAGGCCCCTAGTGTTACTTTTAATTATGACAGCTCATTTTACCTGTCAGTTTGTCTAGACGGTAACTGTCAGTGTGTCTTGCTAATCCTTTTACTCAGTTGAACTCATTTATTAAGTTATGGCATTATAGCAATTATAATTACATTCTAGCGTGTCAAAGGCTTGTTGAATCATTACCACCTGTTTCCTGCACATTAAACAAGCAAATTTAACAATAAAATGGAAAATGAAACACACAGGATAGGCTTTGACTTTATCACACACCATCTGAATTCATTCAGTCACTGCAAAAATCCCATGGTGCAATTCTGCATTGCATTAAAAGAATCAGCTACAATCAAAAATTGAAAGGTTTTACTGCTCATACAATTTGTGCTGTGAAATGCAGAGTATTGAGGCTATGCTCTGAAGGTTTGTGTGTAATAAAAAGTAATAATTAAGAAATATAAAGTTTAAAAATCAAAAGATAAGAATGCTAAATATATGTAATATAGATAATTCTTCGGGGTATATTGAGTTGGTGTGCATGTTTTACGCACATAAAAATGTAAAATGTACATATGTCACAGTTATAGGCAGTAGACTGTACAGTGAAACTTTATATATGCTTGACTGTAAATATGCAAAAGTATGGGACAGTGCAAAGGTTTCACAATATGCTAGACAAGGCCAAGAATACACAGAGATCAGAGGACAGCTAAGGGTTGATGATGACCTGTTCTCTCTCTCATCCAGCGTCACTTTGACTTCCCGGTGGTTGAGGATCCACAGCCGACCGGGGCAGGCTGGCTGTTCCACTCCAAAACTCTGCAGAGTTACCTGAATCTGCTGGAGTCTAGCAAGCGAGAGGAAACACAGGAAGCCTGTTGTGGAGCGCTGCAGAACCTCACCGCACAAGAAGGCATTGTAAGATAAGAAATGTTGTGCTGTTACACACCGACCAGTTTTCTATACATGATATTCATACACTCAACATGATGTTTCCCGATTTGAGGAGCTGATCTGTTTTTCTGTATTTACAGGTCTCCTGTGTAATGAGCCAGGCTATTGTGCAGAAACTGAATGGCCTGCAGGTTATCAGTCCCCTTTTGAAGTCTAACAAAGTCAGCTTGCAGAGGAACACAGTGGCTTTGGTTGGAAATTTGACCAAGAACCCAAACCTGCACAACGCCTTAGGTAAGAAGTAGGTGAACGACAAAGTAGCATGTTGCTTTATCAAACAGTTCTCTTTCATAGCACGTTTCGTTTTGAATGTTTTCCCTTCATTAAAAAAAAAAGTCACTTCCTTGCAAACATAAATATGATTAAGCATCTAAAATACTAAGAGACTGTATATGAAGTAAGAGAATCCTTCCAACGATGTTTGTTAAAACTTACAGTTAGATTTGCTTCAGAGTAAAGATGTTACATTTGAGTTATCACCTAAAATCCATTATCTTAAACAATTATTTGCAGTTGTACAAGTGCTTGCTTGTGTTAAACAACCAGTGGGTTTTTCTTCTTTTTGTTTACCTTGTTACTAAAGCTCGTAAGGCCCTGCCAGAGCTGCTGAACATCATCAGTGCAGGCACCAAGCAAGGGAATGAGTCTGATGACACACTGGCTATGGCCTGCCAGGCCGGCAACTGCCTGCTTTTGAAGGAACCTGAGATGGGCAAACGCCTGTTAAACAGTGGCGTGATAAACTCACTGAGCTCTCTCAGTCAAAACAAGTAAGTTTGCATGTGTGCAGTGAGGCACATGTACCTATAAGGATAGATAAGATTATCCCAGGTATGGGGAAACACCTATCAACAGGGACTGCATTTTGCACACCTGTACGATTTCCACGATTCCAAACTGATCTCTTACTATTGTTTTCCTTCTTTTCAGGTATTTCCCTAAAGCCAGTAAAGTTGCATCCCTGTTTCTCTACAACCTGTGGTCAGAAAAAGATTTGCAAAGCTTCCTGAAAAAGGTGAGTCGAGGTTTAACCCTGTGTGCCAAGATCTGTCAGGTTTTGGGTGTGTCCTCTCTGTTTCTGGAGTCCACACCTTTCTCAGGTATTTGTGAGAAACAGAGGGAGAAAGGTTGAAGGATTGGGTAGTGTTCTCAGAAAATGTGAATCAGACACTAAAATGATATGCCTGAGGAATCTAGCAGCTCAGGTTTAAGGAAACATGCATTATAACACTGTAACTCCCACTCAAGATGCATTGTTGAGAATTTGCCATGAGTACAGATCAGTTCAGTTTTTGGGTTTGGCAATCTGACACTTACTTTGAATTTGGCATAATTGCTGAGGTGGAACACTGATTAATACTTAACGATCTGTCCTGCAGCAAGGGATGAGTAAGGCCTCGTTTGTAAATGACATCACCACGACGGCACTCAAGTCGGTCCAAGTTGTCCACTAACGCGAGAGCTTTAACTGATCTCTGAAGGTCTTTTACCGAAGCAACTCGCCTGCAAGTTCTCTGCACAGCCAGGACAGGATGTAAACGCACTGAGGCGGAGCAGCATCCTTTCTTATTTCACAAAGACTTACAGATTTTTAATCTACTGCATGTATCCATATAACAAATCTTGCAGCGAATGATTACACAGGCCTGTATATGCTGTAAGGTGAAGGTCGAGATATGTTAGCAGCTGCAAGTTTTTATTAGCTTTTTTGGTTTTCACTGCTGTCGAATGTCTTTTAATGTAAATTTTGTCTGTGCCTGCATTCTGCAATATGGTACAATTCGCTTGCTTATTAGATAATAACATAAGGCTTCTGCATTTTTTTGCACTGATATTGCTGTTGATATGACAAAATGAATTTGACTCTGTATGAATGATGAACATAGATAAACAGAGCATCTTTTCTGTTGTTAGAGTTTATGCAGTTGCTATAGGAGCTATGATATTGTCTTATGCATTGAGGTGTCTTTACATTTTGTAAAGCCAACTCCTGTTGGTGGTGTATCCATCTTTTTTTTTTTTTTTCATATGTACATGTGCAATCACATAATGATCTACTTGTATTGTTGCCAAAATTAGCTGGAAATCTGACAAATAAAGACTTCATGTGGGAATTTGACTTCATCATCAGTCATTTGTCTTAGTCACATCGAGTTTTGTGAACTTGCTCAAATCTTGTCACACCCATCCAGGTTTGGGCTGCAACGCTTCTGGGCAGATGAGCAACACATCTTTCAAATTCTGTTTACTCCACCCTTGTAATTTCTTTTCTGCAGCTTAAGAACAAGCTATTCAAGCCAGACGCTGCAGCGGTTGTTGCAATCAGGGTAGTTGTTTGTTGATCAGATTTGAACATTGGTCTTCCACCGTTCACATCACATAACCCACCCAACATCCATGAGGGATTAATGAGGTCATTGGTGATCTTGCATTTTACGAGGTCTCTGACAGGGCTGATCTTTCTTTATAATCACTTCATTTTACACTGACAGATTTATATAGTCATATGTGATCATTTCTAGAGGACTGGTAATACCATGGGTACGTCTCCAGCTCGTCTAAGTGGCTCAGTAGAGGGAAATCTGCCAAACTAATCTGACCCGAAACTGTCAATCATCATAATTGGTTCCTCAAAGTAAACTACACATGAACAGTTTCGGCAAATACAATCCGACCATATTAAAAGAAGCTGTGGATTATATAATTAGCATGGTGCTCATCGTAAGGTTCCCACAGGTGAAGACTTAAGAGAAAAGACACACAATATCTGGTTTGTTAAGTAAAGTTTTTTTTTTTTTTTAAATTCATTGCAATCACAAAATCCTACACACAAGGTTCAATTAATTAGTTTCTGCTTCACTTTGAGTATTCCAAGTGACACATTCAGTGGTTTCCTTTCAGACATTAAAGCCATCACAATAGCTTAGACACTTCAAATCCCTGTTTAAAAAAAAAACATGAGCTGCACCACATCGCCTGATCAGTCTGCAATCAGAGACTCGGTTATACTGCTGCACTTCATTTCACAGCTAACTTATTTAAGAACATCTTTTGGTGTTTTCATAGTTATAATTATGTTCTAGCATTTTTCAAGTATTTAGAAAACATTATAATTCAGTATCTGCCACTCAATGATTTCACTGATGTCAGATGTAGCCAGTTTTCCTCCGGTTGATGTCAGAGGTCACTTCCTCAGACCACGCTTGCTCCTGCTCCCCTTTGAACTGAGAATAAAGGGAAAAGAAAGCTCAAACATATCAGCCAGCAGATAACCTGCCTGACCTGTGATGCATACTGAACCTTGTATATTTTCTTACATTGAAAATGCATTTGTGTTTAACACTAGAACATGAGGTACATGGCTGCAATCCTTGTGCTCGTACCTGCAGTGGCTTTGGCTTTCAGTGTTAGCTCCTCAGAATTAATTGTAATTAATTCTACTAATGAAGTCTTTTGCATTTGAAATGTAAATTATTTTAGGGAAATTCCTATCACAGAAAGGGAATTGTAGACACATCAACATGCCATTATAAGAGAGCTCAAATTAACCTTACGCAACGGGATTAGCTACCAAATAGATGACTGCTATCTTTATCTACTGTTGCTGCCGTGGTGCCTGACACCTGCAGCTTATCTGTGAATACATAAAGTTATCAATTAATGGTCAAATTGTGACAAATTATGTTTTTATGTATGTCTGAAGATTTAGTTCTGTAAGCTCCATTTTCTAAAAATACTTAATAGTTGTTTTACCTGAAAACAAAAAAATAAAATATAAATAAAGGCTCTATTTCAAAGGGATATTTGTTTAAAATGATCAATCACTAAAGCCAATGCCAGATCGTGCAGGAAAACCAATGTCTGAGCTTGTTAAAGTTTTGCTTCGAGCCTGAGCCCTTGCTGTAACACAGCTTACCAAAGATCAGGAGACAGGATTCACATGATTTGGATGGCAGCGGGGGCCAGTCACTGTTTTATTGTGAGCCACATCAACACAGATGATATCACATAGCAGTTATGAGATCTCTCAGCTGTTGCACCTCCATTACAGCCCATCTCTCCATTGAGACTGAGGGCATGGATGTAGTTACGCCTGTCCTTTAAAAACACCTCTCATGTGTGTTCGCCTCTTTTTGTTTTCTCAGTCTTGGGTGTACTCAGGACACTTTAGTCCTTTAGGCAGCTGGCACAAATAGCTGTTTTAAATAAGAGAAGCTGAGGGGAAGTTGAAATGGGAGGAGATGGAAACTTGATGAGGTCACTAGGTGAACCTTTACATCAGGGCAGAATTGCAGTATGGGTCTAAGCAGGGAACTATTTTATTGCTTATTTGAATGTTGCTTTTGGCTTTTATGCAGCATATGTATTCAAAAGCACTGAAAAAAATCTTAACGTGCACTTACATTTTCTGATGATCAGTGACCCGGTTTCTCAGCACGGTGATCTGTACAAAGATGTGTTTTAAGAAAAAAAAAAGAAAGAAAAAAAGGTATTCACATCTGTAATGCCCTACAACACCAAAATACAGTATTGTTACTACATATTTGGTCAAATCATATTTAGTTTTACCAACCTATATAAAATCAGGAATGTGCAATTCCCAAGGAAAACGGGAGGTAAAAATTTGCTAACAGCAGTTATAATACTTTTAATCTAATTTAAACTTTTATACAGGCGTGTACAATTCAAAGTGTTTTACAGATGACCGACAAGCTGATAGTAAGACAGTTATCAGATAAAAAGGAGTGAAAATGTAAAAATAGAGCCAATAAAAAAGATTTTAAAGCTCTAAAACCGAGCAAGAGTTCTCTTAAGGTAAAGCTAGCATGGCGAGATAGCCAAGCCACAGCTAGCCTTAGCTGAAGCTAAATCTATCTAATGTTTCCAAACTGTTCCCTGTATTGAAAAATGTGTTTTGTTGATTTTATATGTCAGTAATCCAATTTGGTATCCCACATACATTAGAGAGCAGGTAAACCCCATCATGTTGGAGAAATAAATATAGGTTAACACAGTAAACCAGCTAGTAGAAGGCAACTTGCTTAGCTAAATAGAGTAGCAATAATTGTTGCTTCAGCCTTTGAATTGTGATTTGATGTAGTTGCTGCCTTTAAACCACATATTTAAACATCTTAAATTATAAAAATATATTTATTGTACTCCTTCAAAAGTTCAAATGGAGCCGAAAAAAAAAACAAAACAAAAAAAAACACATTTTGTTTATAGATGCTGCATTTTCCATTCATCCTTTACATTGTCTATGGGGAGAGAGCAGTTCATCACATTTATTTTTAAATAACCTTAAAATTTAAGTATTACAACTTATCTATTTAACGCTACCTTCAAAACAACTCTTTTTCTACTTTTTACTTCATCTGTTTCCAACCCACAAGTGATCTCTGGCTGACTTCCACTTATAACTGACAAGTTAGCGTGTATTTAAACGTCTTAATCTCTTTATTTAAATCATTTATTTTGGCCTGCGTCCTAGAATCTGTTCATTCTGCTGATATGTATCATGCAGTATGATTGTCATTTAATATGATTGTAAGTAAATGTATGACGTCTTACCTCATACTTCTGCTTCGTGCACTTGTACTGAAGCTCAAATTTCTCTGCCTCTAGCTCACGCATCCAGTCCCACAGCTCCTTGGCTTTTTCCCTGTGTCAGCACAGACAAGAATGTTAAAGCCTTTCACAGAGTTCAGCTGTTGAATAACACCAACTGATTGAATTCTGTTTAGCTAAAATTGATCCCCGAGAGGGAACTCATTGTGCTCGTCTTTAACCTGAGTTTGTCATCTTTCAAGTGATCAATGTTTAACTCCTTGCGTCGGTCATTTAGGATCTTCCTCTTCTTTTCTCTCTCCGTTTGTCTTTTTCCCCCAGTCTGTGTCTGCTGGAAAGGAAGAGGGCACATGTGGTGACATGCTATACGTAGTGCAGTATTCCTCTATCAGTTTATGAGTCTATCAGTCTATTTTATGGATTAACAAAATCATCACCTTGTATCCAGTGAAACTCAAGTTTGATAGAATCATCTTCTTCCTTGCATCATCGTCTGCTTTCTTCTTGGCCTCCTCCTCTTCTTTCCTTGCTTTCTCTTCCTGGTGGAGAAAAAAAAAATACAATATCATTGACCACTCATTTACAGTTGCACAGTGACATTGTCTGAACTTGGTTAAGTAAATATAATTATTACGTACATGTACTGGCCCAAGGCAATACATCAAAATGATGAATATCTATTCCAATATTGAAAAGCCAGTTTGGGATGGTTTGGCTAGCTGTGGCTGAGGCTTGCAAGAACTTGTAAGATCTAGGAAACACCTGTTTTACAGTTATGAACCATCAATTTAAATAGACTTAGAGTGCTACTCACAGCCATTTTGTTCTGCCGCTCTCTTTCTCTCTCTGCTCTGATCTTCATCTGCTCTGCTCTCTCTGATCTGCGTTTCTCCTGAAGCAGGAAACAAATGGACCAAAACAAATCCAGTAAACTCAAAATGTGACTTGCAGTCTTAGGTTTGTTAGAGAATTGGCTGATATTGGAAGCTAAACGTGCGATTTTGCAGCAGAAAAGCGAGATATCAACATACAATGCGATCTGTGAGGTTGACAAGCTCCTCTTCCTCCTTCTTACGCTTCTCAAAGTGAGCTTCAATCAGAGTCTGGAGCTCTGTCAGGTCCTTTTCCATTCGTTTTCGATGAATGTCCTGAAATTACAGCAATAGATTGAAATGTGAGCTGGAGCATTATCTAACGTTCTGCTCAAAGAACAGCTTGCAGGTGTAACTTTGATCTGTCCTGAGATGAACTCACATCAAAGTCCACTTTTTCTCCATCTGGGATCTTCGGAGCTGCCAGGCCGGGCATGAAACCAGACCTGTTGAGAATGGAAAAAGTTCAGTCTTCTCATTTGAGTATGCGTCTCACTGTGAATTGTGTTTCACTTTGTATAAGATACATATTTTAAATCATGTTCTTACTTTAACTTAGGCTTTGCATCGTCTGTGTATCCAGGAAAAGAAAAAGCAAAGTAAAATCTTTAGTTTATGATGCAACGTATTAAAAAAAACATACAAAAAAAACCCACATTTCTCTGTCACACACACATAACCTCTGTACTTCTTACACAACCAGTCCATACCTCCTTCATTTTCCTCTCCAGTATCTGCCGACAGATGAGAGGGTCAGTGCAATGTCAACATTTAGAGAAGCAGAAAAGGTGCAGAGAGCTGACTCTGACATGCGGACAATGAGACACTCCTGACAGGCCCGAGGGACAGGACTGACCAAAGGCCATGACCCTCCTAAACCCCCCTGCAGACAGTCCTGCGAACGTAAGTATCGCCTGAAGAGTATGTTTCTAAACAGGTTTGTGGAGTAATTCTCAGTAAGATTGACAATAATGAGAAAAAAGCTTTTTTTTTTCTTTTTTCTTTTTTTTTAAGTTTCTGGTTCAGTTCAGGTTGTAATACAAATAAATCATGTATCATTGTTGACACTTTACCCTCATGTTTATCTTTATCTCTACGGAAGAATGACCTCAGACAAATAGCCGTTGACTGAGGCAGCGTGGCTGACCATCTCCTGTCAGCGCTGCTGGACTTGAAAGGTATGTGGGTGTGTTTCTCTCTGAGAGTCACACAAGGCTGCTTTACTCAACATTTCCCCACCTGAGTCCCCACTAAAAAATAACATGGTCCACCAGTCTGTCACAGTAAATGTCTTTAAAATGTTCATCACAATTTAATTTTTTGTCATCAATTATTAATCTTTTTATGTTAAAAAGGCTTTCACAGTAACATACCACGCAACACAAGACACAGAAATAAACTAGTTGAAATGGAAAAATCCAGCAGTAACTGCATTTTCAGCAAGTATACAGGTACACTGATGGTATCAGAGTTAGTATCACATTTCTTTCCCAGGCCTCCATGTTGTCACAGTGCCAATGAAAACTGCAATTGGTGAGTATGAACTGAAGCATTAAGTTTATGGGGCATAATACTTAAACAAACCATATAGACACACCTTGGATTCTCTGAAAAGTAAATCTTCATGGAGCTGGAAACAGATTACATGGTTGCTAACAGTGTGTTAAGAATAAATCATATCTATTTATAGCTGGCATGCAGACAAACATATATTAGCATAAGCAGTACTACCTTCCTCCTCCTCCTCCTCCTCCTCCTCCTCCTCCTCCGCTACCTCTTCTACCTCCTCCTCCTCCTCTTCTGTGCAAAGCAAGTATGTAGTTAGTAAGCAAACAATGTGACAATCATTATTTTTGCCATCTTGTATTTTTGACAATGCCTTTTGAAAAGAGAAAGACAATCTTTTATTTAAAGATTTCACTTGCATGGCATTTGCTTACACTCTAGATGCCCTGCTCAGCCTCCTGCTATTGCATTTTAACCTTTTATCAGTACATTTGTTATCTACTTATTCATCAATGCAAATAGTTATTAGCAGTTGACGATATGTAGATTCGTTCACATGGTACAATTGCATCTAAATATATTTTTTAATGAATTTGTGCATCTAAAGTCTTTCCAATTTACATTTCTTAAAAAAAAAAAAAAAAAAAGGGGTTACCAAAAAAGTAGTAATGCTTAATATACATTGCAGTAGAATCAACTTCACTCAGCAAGGAAGTGATTTTTTTTTTGTTGCCATTTTTGCCACCAGCTTTCCCACAGTTGCATTTAGCTTTTGCATTATTTGCTAAGCTTTTTGTCCCAAACATTGCTTTCCTCACTGGGCCTCCGTGTGAAAAAGTGACACCGATCGCGTCTTTAGTCCCTTTGGCCACAGAGGGAAACTCAATCTCTTTCCACTGCAAAGAGGGTAAGCCAACCTGCATTTAGAAGACCTCTTACAGGCATAAAAATGAAAGTGGGCATTGTGCTTGCACCACTATCTTCCCTAAGGTCCCTCTATCGAGAACATACTGACCTACATTAACAGTGGCTCTATACTCCGCACAGAGGGAGACAGGTGCTGCTTAGTTTAAGGAACAGTGTGGCTGTATAGAGACCCATACAGACAGCCTCACATGAGGAGACAGAAATAGAGGTACGGCTCTTTATCTCCTTGATGGCAACCCAATGCAGCATTTGAACTGAAAGGACAGATCCACTGGGATGTTGAGTCAAGGTGAACTATCTCCAGCCTCACACAGAGAGGACTGAGTGAGAGGACAAAGGTCAATCTGGCAGAAAAGCTGAACAACAGCAGCTGCCTCTGCAGTGGCACCAACATGCCAAAAATACAGTGTGCTGTGTGGTGAAGCCAGCGGCTTAGCAGATGCAGCGTGTTAAGTAACCGACAACGTTTCAATGCCAGGCTCAAGTGGGTAAAGCAGGTAACAAAGTGGCAGAAATAAAAACGCAACCAGCCGCTTAACGTTGATGCATTTGGATTATTAGATATAGATATTGTTCGTATTAAAGTGCATACCAACAATATCCCGCTCCGTCACACCATTCACCCAGAGAGCGGTAAACAGCAGAAGTCAGCTATTGCAATGCACTTCACAAGTATATTAAACATAGGCATGAATATGTATCTGATATACATTCATGCAGCATAATCACAATATCCATGCATTTGTTTTTCATCTTTTTCTATTGTCTAGTGGTTGAGGCAGCTGTGTAGCATCCAACCAGTCACAATCTCTCCCTGGCAACATGCAGCTGTTTCAACCTGCAGCCTATATACTACACTGTACGTACAAACTGTGTGTGTGTGTGTGTGTGTGTGTGTGTATGTTCAGTGAGCAGATAAACTGACTTACCTTGTCCCCTGAAAGAAGAAAAAGACACCAAAAAGATGTTGTTACCTGTTTGTTATCTGTGCCGGCATCACTTTGTCATTCTCAATCTCTGCTCTACAGAAATGTTGCATTTACTCACTCATCATATGTGGCATCCTCCGTGTCTGACATGTTTAGGATGCAGCACCTGTGCAAATAAATGCAATCCACTGCATCATGATGATATTATAATATTTGCTGTTATCAACATACAGAGAAAAGAAATACACAGACTTACCCAGATAGTGCGCCGTGTGCTTCTGACGGGGGTTCAGTGGGGAATTGTATACTGTGCCCTTCTCTGTTGGCCATAAGCTTTTAAACCCAGTGCTGGATCACATGGCGGCAAGCTGCTCATGTCTACAATTGGTGGGCACATACCTGCAAACAGATGGCAGATGGCATTAACTAGCATGGGAAAACATGCATTCTCCATGGACTTGCATTGTCTATTTTTACACGGCAAAAACCTAGACTGAACACCACAGGATTACTGTTCTCAAAAGGTTTCAGTATCCAGGTCTGGCAGACACGGGGAAGGTTAGAAATAATCTGTGTAAAGTAAACCTACTCTTATGTGCACACAAATACACAACTAGAGCTCCTCTGATTTCAAAGCATTTACTATAACTTTATGATTCTGTTGATCAGTAACACATTTATCACACAAGCTTTTACACTATACTGCATTATGTAACAGCATGTTTTCCTAAGATGGAAGTGTTACACGGTCAAGTAATTGTACATAATTCCTGTATCAGGTTGTTAAACGGAAGGTCAAAGTAACACTCGCTCCTTTGACTGGCTCCATCTCCTGCAGCTCACCTTCAATCTTGCATCCGTGCCCTCTGTCCTCACACGCAATAACCAGTTATCAACAACACCCTTTGGGAGCTGCCAAGTCTTTTGATACTCCCAGTGTTTGTTGTTAATACTGTTTCTGACCCCAGAGTCTGGATTGTGACTCAGCCATAGACTGTACTCAACAGATGTCTCTTATGAACTGCAGCCAGAATGTAATTGAATAGTTTTTCCTTCCCTTTTTTAAAATAGAGGGGGATGATGTTGTTTTGTGGTCTTCTAGGGGCAAGTTAAAGCAAGGTCTCAAGTCAGTCGAGACAAGCTCAAGTCAAGTCAATTCATTTCAATCCAAATATATTTATATAGTGCAGAATCATAACAGAAGTTATCTCAGTGCACTTTTCATACAGAGCAAGTTGAGACCGCACTGTTTATAAAATGATTTACAGAGACCCAACATTCCCCCATGAGAAAAATGGTGACTGTGGCAAGGAAAAACTTCCTCTCAACAGGTAGAAACCTTGAACAAAACCAGGCTCATGGTAATAGTTTTAGTAATAAAAAGACTGACAGGACAAGTTATAAAATTAATAATAGCCTAATGATAATAATATTACTAAAGCGACTAATAAGGAACTAATAATAATTGTAGCAGTAGGTGTTGAGCAGGCTCATGGAGGCATGCGGCTTACAAGTCAAGTCAAGTCAAGTCACATGATTCAAATCTTCAGAAGCAAAATGCAAATCAATGTCAAAGTGGTCTCAAAATGGCCACACTGTTCACAGAGTATTTGAATGTTTTTCCATTCATCACTTTGTCATTAGTGTTGTTTTTAATAACTGAGCCAATAATCTGTCACAGTAATCAAACATATTAGGCGTGTTATGTTGTTGACATTTTCTTATTTCTTTGAGTTTGTTTATTAGATGTAAGACAAGTTCATAAGATAAAAATAGCCTATTTATTAATCTACTTCTGGAAGCTAGACAACTGAAACACTAGTTCATTGGTGACTGATGGTCTACAAGGCAAATAATAAAGGAAGCCTCTGGAATTTAAGTGTGTGTGTATATATATCCGTTAGTTTTTGTGTTATTCACTCATGGATTCCCTTTGTTAGACCCTCTACATTGTAGTCCATGCTTTGTAGGCAGGGTTGAAGGTAGATGTCATTGATGTCATAGTTTCAATGTTGCCACACATTAGCTGAAGGCATTGAGTATGTACAGGTTGTACACCAATCAGCGACATTAAAACCAGTTACCACTTGTAATGTTGAGGCTGATCGGTGTTTGTTATGTATGGGTTCAAGATCAAATGTGACATTTTGATGCAAAAGTTGAGTTTATGTTGACATGCAGGGATAAAACGTGTTTAGCATAGTAAATGATTATAACACTACGTCAACGCTTCATTCTCACCTCTCTGAGAAGAAATATGTGTGTGTGTGTGTGTGTACTTGAAACATCAGTAATTGCTCAGTTGTGTCAAATATTTGGACTGTCTTTTGTCATGTGGTTGTTTACATATGAGAGGAAAGTGAAATGTTTGTTTACTCCATGAAGACGGCAGTATTGGAACGCAAATAGTCAATGTATCTATTTTCTATATGTAAGAATAGAGGGAAAAGTCACACACTCACAACCCAGATAAAACCCATCAGTTCTTTTATGCAACATTTTGGCCCAGAACCAGATCTGATAATCACCGGAATGACACATACTGTAGTTTACAGAACAGATTATTCAAATCAGTGAGCTCACAGAGCAATCACATCCATAAAAACGCACTCCACACAAAGGTCTAACATCACTATGTAATTCAGACAGTCTTACTACTTGAAGGTTCAGTCACTAGATAATCAATTAAAATAAATTTAAAAATAATTTTGTGTTTGAATGTTTAGAGTTTGTGTTACTTTACTAATATCCTTCAAGTGGGCTGCAACAAAGCTGTAATACACAATCACAGGATTAAGTTTCAAGTACTTTACTTTCACTAAACAGCCCAGCCTCATGACTCTATTGTTGCAAACCCCACCCAGCTGCTATCTGAGTCAACTAAAAATGAACAACAGAAGGTTTGCTATGCTGAAACTTGTTAGTGGGAAGATTTCAGTCATTAGCTCAGTGAACTGACTGTGAGCAGATCCTGCCCCCTTGTGACAGAAATTAAAACTGTAGGGGATGCACCAAAGCATCTGCCTGAATTGTCATACTCATTTGTATGTCATCTCTGTGGATATTTCTTTATGCAGGATTGCAAAGTAAACTAGAAAATTCCTGGAAACACTTTGAATGAACCTGCTGCATGTACTTCACACCTCACATTTCAATCTGTCCCTCAAAAAGCCATTTGAAACCGTCACGACTGGCCAAAATAACCTCACACTGATGGTTTCAAACACAAATGTGTCCCCACCAGTGGCAGCTGGTGCATTTTTCCCCAATCTCTTCAACATAAGCACAATTTTTCACATGCACAAACTTGAATTTCTCATGCAGATTTATTTTAAAGGTTTTCAAATGTTGATTTACAACTACAAACACTGGAATCATTTTATCATACATCATTTTACAAGCTCAAAATCATTTTGAGCCCACTTTGAGCCTATATATGTATGGGGTGGAGTCATACTTACCTTTTCTAATTGGACTCTGGCATCCCAATGAAAATCGTATTAAATTAAATGACTTTCCTTTGCAGGGCAAATAAAGGACATTTTAAACAGCTCTTCTTTAGACTATTAAATGGTTTTGAAGCATTGTAAGGACATACAAGATTTAATAATCATTAATTTAAGCATCGTTTAGCATTTACTAGAAGTACAAAAGTAAGAAAATTGACCAATATAAATTTGCTAGTTCAAGCACAACCAGCAAAGGTGGCATCTGCTGCTAAATTAACATACATATATTGACACCACATTTCTCTCATAAAGCAGGCTATGTTAAACCTTCCATTACTTGGTTGTGGTTTAATTGGTAGTTCAGTTTGTAGAGTTTGCGTTAGCCTAGCATCAGGGAACTTGTTTAGAACTTGATGTTAATTAAAACATTTCGGCGATTCTGTTGACATCAGCCATCGTAGTCTTCGGCAAGTTGTGGATTGACTCGTCGAAAATAATTTTGTCCATCGTTTAGGGGTTTTATCGACTGGCTGCAGGCACTGAGGGCAACCGGATGTAAACGCCCATGGCGTTTGACTACTTCCGCTTTCGTGACGCAACGCATGAAAAGGGCCTATGGCGGCGAGCAGACAAACATCGGAAAATAGCGTCTAAGAGGCGGAAAGATACAAATCACAGAATCCGGTCAGGGCCACAATAAAATCAGAGCGGAAACATAATGCAGATAGTGATGTGTAATGCAAAACCAGCACAAATACCGACAATACAGTGTAACAAAACAAAGTCAGTAAATGGACTATTCTCCCAGCTTAATGAAGAATTTGTTGATCAGAAATGCATAAACAGGTTTTCAACTGGACACACAACAACAACAACCAACACTTCACGGCAGTCCTATGTCAATTCCCACGGGACACACCTCAAAAAGCATAACGCCTATTTCACCCTATGCCTAATTCTAGCTGACATCGAAACGGCGCCAACACTGCCCAAACACCGCAAGGAAGTGTATAATAGTGAAGAGTTCCCCTCTACTTGGTTTCTTCTTCTCCCCTTCCTGCTGCTCCACCGTTTGTTACAGGTATTTGTTTGTTCCCCACCGTGGTTGTATGATTTCAACCTAATATGTCTTATAATAGAGGCCTACATCCATGTTCCCTACATCGATGTTTCCACGGTTTACTTTTCTAATGCTGTTATTCATATGACTCGGTCGAGATACCTGGTGTTGTGAGTAGTTTTACCGCTTTGTGTCATGGACACAGGAAAGAGTGAACCAGCAAACATGAAGTCCAGCTGCAAGTGACACAAACTCCATAAAGGAACGTTCAAAATTCATAAGCAGCTAAATGCCATGAACTGCAGCGGGAAATGAAGGTAGAGGTCCAATAGCAGCTGTGTATGAAGTTCAAAATACTAATAAATAATAATCACGAAATTCATAAACATACAGTTAATTCATTTGAAAGCAATTTTAACTAAATAAAAGGCTTGAATATCACAAATGTTATTCCCGTACCCAAGGACAATTAAGCCTGTATTATCTGTCTTAAAGCAAGAGAATCCCCAAATCCTGCATAGACAACACAAGGGCACTGACTTTGTTTTGTGTCAACAGTTGTGTATTCCATTTAAATATTGATCAAATGTCATACATGATGATTTAAAATGTTGAATGCACTTTTTAATTGAACCCCCCACATTAAGAGCTAATGAGTGCAAACGATGAATTAATACAGTAGAAAAACTGACTGGAAGTATAAACTTGCAAAAATGTCATTCTAAAAAAGCCAATGGCTTGTTTTCATCAGTCAGGCTACTGCAGTTATATGGCTAAAATTATTTTGAGCCACTGTGAGAAATGTGTTACCTCACTAACCCCATAAGTGTGCAGTGTGCCTCCTAACAGGTCCCATCCAGGTTTTAAATTTGACATAAGGTTTAAGATATAAAACAATCATTTTGGTGTGAGAAATTAGACAAACATTTTAAGGCCTCACAGCATCAGAGCCCCATTCACTGTTATAGAGCAAACTGGGATGGCATTGCACATTTTAAGGTTCAAATATTCACCAATCTGTTCTTGGGCACAGGAACAAGAAAGGTCAATTAAAAGCAAAGAAGATATAACAGCCCTGGAAATTTTACTCACCAAGTATTCACTTACTGACTACTCACAGAGCCAGGTTCAGTTCACTGCAACCATGATGGCTTTTGGTGTCTGTATGTGGGCAGTCTTTAGGTTATGACCTGAAATACAAACAAGGCGAGAGGACAACTAGAGGAACAGGGGCCAACAAAGAGCCTAACTATGTGATTCTAACCAACCCAAAACACAAGAAGCAGCACCCCTTTTCCTAATGTATCCAATAGTCTTTTTCTAAGGGTGTGATGCACAATCAGAATTTTACACCTTGCCCAGTCCCCAACAATCACTACCAGCATCTCAAACCAAATCACAAATTACAGACAAACGTTCACAAAGGAGGTACAGACGCGAGCTGCCTGTCTCTTCATCTTAATGCTAGAATGGCTGCAGCTGTGATGTGGACTGGCAGGCTCCTTGCCCCATCAATAGGAGAAGCCGGTGGTGAAGTTGGAGGCTCCTCTTCTCTGCTCCAACCAATCTCGTCGCGGAGTCTGTGCAGCATGATTAGCATACAGACAAAATACAGTTTAAAATCCAGGTGACTGTGCTGCGCTTAGTTGAACTTATTTTTATATCATTCATAAAGTTGAACAAGAAAGAGCAGAACTGATGACACCATTACAGAAGATTGCGCCGGTAGAGGATAACATTAAAAGTACTAGAAAATTCCTGGAGAAATTTTGATTGTTCCTGATGCTTGGTGCATGTACTTCACTCCTCATGTTTTAATCTGTACAAAGAGGCTGTCGTAGAGACTTATCCTGACACTGACCTCAGTCACTGCACGTCCCTCAAAAAGCCTTTTGAAGCTGTAACGACAGGCCAAAATAACCTCACACTGATGGTTTCAAAAACAAACGTGTCCCCACAACCACAGCAAGACATGTATACACACATGTACATGCCCTTACAGAAGTTGATCTGGATCTAAGTCCACTTGCATGGTGGGACAGCTCCAGAACGAATGAGGATTACACATCCAGGCCACATCCGTATCCGCTCATGAAGCAGCTCATTCGGCACCCATCATGGATTCCTTATTCAAAATGGCTCATCTGGTTAAAAGTAGCTGCATAAATGTAAAATCTAGGTGACCAACACCTAGATTGCACTATAAAAGCTTGAAAATGTGATCTGTCAGAGCAGTTGAACAGCTTTTCCCCACTCTGTTTTGATGCCACTCACTCTAGCTGTGAACATTCAGCCATATACACACTAATGTAAAAATCTGGACTAGGTTCAGAAACATTCACGAAACTTGAACTGTCACTGTGTAAAAACTATGAATGGGATTTCTATGGAGGTAGATATGTCTCAATGTTATTTGTGCGAACAGATGAACATTGCGTGTGTAAATTGTGTGATTTTTTTTCCTGGGCAACTATCATGTTTTCCCAAAATGATGTACAAATGACTTCATACAGTAAATAATGCATATAGCTGTTGTGAATGGGGAAAGAAAATTCTCCAGGGGAACATGTCCCCTGACTATAGACTTAAGTTGGGGCTAAGCACCAAATGTTTACAATGTCTGGCTCCACCCCTGTCAGTGAATACTGTCTGCAGTTTAAATTATCAGAAACCACTTTCTGCTGACTTGACACTTTCATGCAGAGACACAGTAGTCAAGAAGCATGAATATAATGTCTTTATTATTGCTTTCATAATCATGCCCATCACAATTTTCAATTGGAATGAACGTCAGGTATCATCTGAAATTCTATGAAACTTAATAAAATTAAGAACTACACAGTACTTTTCTAACACTGAGGTGACAGTTAAGAATTAAATTTAAAAACAATCAGCCATTAGGCTCCATCTGAGTCTTAACACCGTTTTACAGTGATAATTTCCCAGCATACATAAATGAAAGTGGTTTATCTGGTTAGTCAACTAAGTGCGCTGCTCACTAAAGATGTATTAGTAGCGATTTTAATTTACTGCAGTACAAGATGCTGTGATTCATGTAATTTAAGTTAAGAGCATATATGACAGAATATCTTCAGTGCATCCTCACTGCTATAGTTTGGGAAAGAGGATTGTAGATTGTTTCTAACATAAAGGTACTTTCCAGTGCAAGACTGTGAACATGAGAACTGAGACATGCAGATAAAATTTGTCCCTTTTCCTACAGTATACTATGCTGAGAAGACTAAACCAGTGCCTAAGGATCCTTGTCTTCAGGTGCTACCTCCAGTTCTCAGTGATCTGTCCTGCAGAGAAAAAATGTTACTGACCTACATATGTTACTGACCTACATGTAAACCTAAAACCTCCGGAGTGTCTGTGTCCTGTGTGCAGCACGGTCCACTGCTGTAAGTGTTGACGCATATCAAGTAATTCTGCAAACACAGTCTGGACCCGCTAAGATTGTGTGGTGGACTCTCCAAATCACAAAAGGGATTGAAATTAAAAACAGAAACAACTGGTCCCAATGAAACTACTGGTTGGTTGGAATGCAAGTCGGACCTCAGGCTTACAAAAACACAAATGGCCACATTTACAACCTTTAAGCACAGCAGTAGCACAGAAGTATCTTATGGTCAAATAGGAAGTATATTTGTGGAGGTGCATAGAGGGAAACCTAGAGGTAATAAAAGGCTAAAGACGAGTATATAAAAAGTATAAAAATGTCAAAGCATGATTGTGTCCGGCACTGCTATCAGAAACTTCCTTCAATACACTTTAACTCCATCATTGCGCAGTACAAATCTAAATCTCTAAAGCATAAAACACATTCAGAGGAGCAATAACTCCCTCAAACATCCATTTTAAAGCTCACTTCAAAAGGTTTCATTTCACTGAGCCTGCTTCGACCCAGTTGGCTCTGACTTTATTCCTCTGGGTCAAAGGCACTGGGCTCCTGACCCTCTGGGGACTTCCGCTGGGCGTTGTGAGGCTGAGCCAGAGGAAAACCCCTGAGCTTCTCTTGCAGACTTCCTAAAGCCAGTCTCATCTGGTCTTCAGCCCCCTGGAGAGATTTCAGTTCCATGGTGTAGAAGATGTACAGCAGAGAGGTGGTGAGCAGGATGGCGAAGCACAGCACAGCCAGCAGGTAGAAGGAGGTACGAGGGAAAGGTTGTTCAGCTCCCAGAGCCAACCACGGTACAGCAGCGATGAACAGCTCCAGGAACAGCAGGGCTAACCCCATTGCTGCGGTGCGTGTTGCTGTGTAGCGCATGCTCTCTGCACAGTGCAAACCTACTTTGACTTCGGTGCGGGCCTCTGTTACAATGTCGACCAACTCAGCTACCTTTTCTGAGGAACATGAAAGAAAGTAAGAGAGAAAGAGCGAGTAAGAAACTGTTCAAGAGTTGATGCCTGACACAAGCAGCACGGGTGTGTTTAATTCAACGGAACAGTGAAGTGCCATACAAAAAGACTAAGAGCCTACAGCCAGGCTAATGGCTCTGTGAGGTTGTACCTCGGCCCCATCGGACAGGATTAACATTACAACATTAAACATTCACCGTCTTCCTGGTTAATTTAACTAATTGTTCTGGATGGCAGTTTAACCATCATGAAATTTCAGGATGTAGTCTGGAGCAGACATGGACATTCTGCAGCACTAGCCAGAATACACTAGTACCTACCAGTAGCTGTCTTTACAACAGTCTATTTGATTAGCTGTTATTGGGTCTAGCTCTCCTAATGACTTCAGTTTTTTTCCTTTGTTGTATTGGTTCCCAGATGTTGATATTATCATATTTCTGTCTATCAGACTGGTAAAAAAAAAATCTCTGACTTCTTCCATTTTCAAAAGGTCAAATTTCATAAGAATTGATTTAAAAAATTAAAAAAAAAAGTATAAAGATAAACAGTAGAATGACACTTGGACAGAAATTAAATTACAAGGCCAGTGAGTTCATCAAGAAACAGTAGGTGAACAGTAGGTGTAAGGGTTGTAATTACTACTGGGTTGAGTTGAAAAATTACTCACATATGCCCTGGGGACAGCATTAAAATCACTGGCCAGCACAGGTAATGTTTAAATCACCTCCCATAGAAAAATAAATCCAGTCTAAAATGGGCTGGCATAGACATAGCAATAGACATACCAGTGCTTTGAGCTAAATGCTAACACCAGTATGCTAAAATGCTCATAATAACTGTGTAAACATACTGATGTTTAGCCATTTTACCAGTTCAGTGTATTAGCATGCTATCATCTTATTAGCATGAAACGCAGTGAAGGGATCACAAAAATCACGAGGATTCACCCTGAATGTGAATCTTGACCATGAATGTCTGAACTAAATTTTATTACATATCCATTAAAATAACTGTTGAGATATTTGGACCAAAATGCTTTCGAGAGACACTGGCATTCCTAGAGCCACCTTGATAACACGGCAAGTAAAAATACCTGCAGCAGAGTCCTGATCTTTTGACTGCTTGCCACCTCCAATCTCAGCTAGAGTGTGTGACTCCAGCCTCAGTTCAGCAGTCAGAGCCTCGTGGTCGGAGTACGGGAAAGGATGGTCAGGGACGGAGCCTTTGGTGGTGGACATGGAATCACAAAAAATGTCCATTTTGGGAGAACCCTGCAAATAACAGAGGAAATGTGTATACGAGTTAAATGACATTACAAAACAATCTGATGACTCTGACGCCTTGCTATGAACATGAAGTGAAGAACCCACAGTAGGTGTGACGAGACTAAGCTTTCACCCACCTTGAACAGGATGTAGTCAATTCGGATTCCTTCCTCAAAGGGACCGAGCTCCTTTTTACTGATAAAAGCGTTGTCAGCTATTAGAGTCAAACCATTCTCACATCCCTGCAACAGAAAATAACTTAACATTTATAATCACAAGGAAAAATTATTTTTATCTTTAAAACTGGGATCCTAATTTTGTAGTATTGACCATTAGTAACGTCAGTTATGATGACATTTTTCTTGTGGTACGGTGCCACAATGACAGGACTGGATACAGCTTTACAATACTCATCAAGTGTGCTTATTGAAATGGTGCATGCAAGAAAGTTTAAAGTGCCTTGGATGATACGGGACTCTTTGGACATGGTCAACCTTGCTTTTTTATCCAAAAAAAGGTTCAAGGAATGTGGTAAAAAAAAACTTTGTGACTGCTTGCATTATTGCCCAGTCTGTGCAGTTGTAGAGCTGTCTACAAGTAAGTAAAATATCATCAGAACCAATATGAATTAAGGCCATCACTAAAGGCAAAAGATCCATGCTAAAAACGGACTTGTTTTATTTAATTACTGTATCTTAGCAGATGTATTATGATATTATTGTGTTGCATTCTTTTCACCACCTACATCAAATTTATCAGTCTCTAAATAAGAGTCCCGGAGTCCAGTGTAAGACATCAGCAGCCTGTTGCCGAGGTCCTGAGGGTGCATGTTGAGGTCACCACCTAAAATCACCACATCTGCTCCAGCAGAGGTGTGCCTGATGGACACAGAGAAACACATTATTACCACTGAAACAAAACAAGATGAACCCTGGTTAAAAAGTGTTTACTTATTAGGAATATTGCCAGGCACTGTAGTGTTGCTTTACACACCAACTCTAAATGGCGAGAGGCGGGATTCACCTGAGAAAAATATGCAAATGTACACCAGAGTAAACAAATAGTGGCTCATAACAAAACAGACACACACTACCGAACAAACTGCTGCAGCTCCCAGGCCTGAACCACTCTGTGAGGCAGGTAAGAGTCCTTCTCTCTGCAGTACTCCGCATGCAGCTAAAATCAATACACAGAGAAGGAATCCATTGATCACTGATCAATAACAGCATTTTACATTGAGGTAGGGCTGAGAACTGATGTTATGAAACCTTACATGAGTCACGTAGACATTCGCAGTAAGGCTGCCAATGCTTAAAATGGCCATCCCAACGGCTTTACCTCCAAACCAGTCTCCATGGTGGGCCTAAATATCACAGGAAATACAAAGAGTGAATTAAGGGGAAAGGCGATAAACAATGCTGCAAGGAGCTGCAGGAAAAAAGAAAATAACAGTGCAATCCGAATCACAATGAGGGGATGTTTTCATGATGCATTGTGATCATTTCCACATTTGAACTAAGGAAAAGGAAGAAGTGCTGAATGCAATACGCTCATCTTGTGTAATGTGCTAAAACAATCTTCTTTTTCCTCGTGACATTATCTGACAGACAGTACATGTCACTTTGTGAGAATCACCTTTGCTCAGTAATATGATAATTTTATAACTGTTAACATCACCAAGTTGTATTTGGATAATAAAGCTATGGACATTAACTCAAGTACTGCACACACAGTTTTGAGGGTGCTTGTTTCCATTTCATGCTACTCTACGTTTCAGAGGGAAATATTGTACTTTTCACTCCACTACATTTATTTAACAACTGCATTCACTAGTTTTTTTTGTATATTTTGCTTTTAAAATATGATGTATTGTTTAGTGAAAGAAATCTCTGTCTTATTAAGTAATTGTAGTCTAAATTTGAGTGCTTAAAGTTTTATTTTCTCATGAAAACTGAAAAAAAAAATCTACCAGCGTAGTAGGAATATTTGAAGAATTCTCGAAAATCTCGTTTTTTAGAATTCTAGTGCTGCAACGGTGTCTTTGTCTTTCTTGTTTCAGGATATAGACACTTGGGTTGAACAGGCTGAAATATTTGCATACTGCAGAGTAATGTTCTTAGGACTCGATTATTGACAGACATGTCTTTATCAGATTGAGGTTTTGCAGATTAAACAGCTCAACACTTTACAAAGTAGTAAAAATCAACTCCACCTCAACTACAACAAAAATGGTGCTCACACATTAATAAATCTGTGATAATGCTAACAATGCTTCTGTGTTTTCACTTAAAGAATGAATGCAGGTCTTTTAGTTGTACTTTTACACTGTGGTACTACTTTTTACTGAAGTAAAAGATCAGAATACTTCTTCCACCTGTGTACAAAACCCCACTTGCAGCCTCTCCAAACTTACCATGTATGGATAACCGTTCAGTGAGTAGCGATAAAGAAACGTGTCATGGATTCTGTGCTTGGAGAAAATGGCCAGTCCACTTCCTATGACTCCACTGCAGAATGAGAGTAAAAAAACAACATGTGAGCAGAAGTTATATGTTCCACCAGTAACACCAGCTTCAGCAGCATATGGTTATTATTGTGGTTACTTTAAAACACAAGTCACATTCAGTCTCCATGCATGCAGATGTCTATTATGCTATCATAAGTAGGTGTTATCTGTAGGAGATGTGAGAACGTATCTACTCGAGTTGACATTTTTGTGAGCTGCAGAGGGGATTAGGAGGGTAAGGCCTTTGATTAATCTCGGTTTTGTGCCTTGGTATGGAGGTCAAGAAAGAATTAAGCTGCAAAAGTTAATCCTTCAGGTAACGCCTAAGCTTCATATAAATTTTGCAGATGGATCAATGCCATGCAAGTAAATTTTTCTGACGGCACTTCAGGACCCTTTTGAAGATATGACAACTTATTCATGAATTTGAATCACAGACTGAAAGACGTTCAAAGGCAACAAGTTGAGAAATGATTGCACAGCAACCTTGGGATGAGAATGAAAACATTACCTTTTGAAGTAATGAGAGTGAGGATGACTACAGGCAAGTTTCTTTTTTAAGAACAGGTAGTCCCTCTCACTCCACACCTTAAAAAAACAGGCATATTAGCATATTAATATTGTTCATACACATCTACAAGTGGATTTGAGACTTAAAGTTGGTCTTTAGTGCAGAATACGTCACGTGTGACAATGTGCATAAGATGAAATCAGTTTAGTGGCTTAGCAGCTATATAACTTTGGAAGATAGCCTCCACCAACCTCTTGCAGTAAGACAATATCATGCTCTTCCTTGCACAACATATCTCCAATCATGGCATAGCGCTGACGACAGTGTTTGCTGAGGTAGCGGATCCCCCTGAAAAAAGAAAGTAGAGTATGGACAGAGAGCATGGACAGTGGGTTTTTGCATACGCGTACAAAACGACGCACTAGGAGTCAATAAAAACCACAGCCACTGACCAGCAGTTCAGAGAGAAGACCCTGACAGAGTCTCTGGTCACCATGCTGACAGATCTGTGGATGTGATGATGGGAGTGTCAGATCAGGAATGTGAGATCAGGTGAGATGACTGGCACAACACCTGGTGAGACACATGAAAGTGATTGTCGACAGTTGATTTTTGTTATCTAATCCTAAATGGTCACATTAGGTGGTTCCACTACATGTCTAGGTACACAAACACATCCAGCATGTACACATAAGCACTTTAATAAAAAGGGAAGCAATTCAGCAAAGGAGAGCAATTTTAGAGTTGGTCAACTGGAACTAGTGGGCAAAGAGTATATGCATGCATGTGTATAAAATAAAATCTTTAAACATGATAAAGCAAACAGTCACGAGGAAGGTCTAAGGGAGAGAAAGACACAAAAATACACATTTAAAAACTGCACAGTAAGTGCCAAAAGTGCAAACAAAGCAGATATCAGCATGACTATACTTTCAGTTCTTGGATGTCAACTGTTTTAAGGATTCAGCAAATTTTCTGTTTTTAACTGATAAACGTGACAAAAGTGATGTTTAAAGATGTAAACAACTGGTATACGTAATGCTAAAGACAAGTATAAAGATTAATGAGGTGTTTTAACTGAGCTGGCACAGTGTCATAGTGTCACACAGTGAGAAATGTTGTTGATTTTTAAAAAGGAGACAAAGTCAAAGGCGGCTGCATTCCCTCCTGTCTCCTGTGAGTGCAACAATACACTGGCCCCAAACAGAGTGCTGACATAGCTTTGCTCTGTCTGGAGAGAAAACAGAGAAGCAGCAATGTAGTGAAAAGCATCAGGGGGTTCTGGTGTCAGAGGTAATGGTTGTTTTGAACACCCAACACTAGCTATTCATTGTGTGTCAATACAGAGGAAGCAAACAGGATAAATACAATACACAATTCCCTCACAATTCTAAGACTTAACTTAAGGTTGTAGAGTGTGTGTGAGTGTGTATCCAAAATACTGAGGGATACTGCATCAAACACAAAGGAGTATACAGGTAATAAATGTTATAGGCAGATAACAGTGGGTATGCCAGACATTAGACCTTAACCCAAAACCAAGATGAACTCACTAACTTTCCTTAAAAAAGATGGTGATATTTAGTCGCATCAATGGACTGCATGTGCTTGAATCTTGCAGTGAAATTACTCCAGATTTGTCTTATATGAAACATCATAATAACTAAATCTCCAGAGATACTTTAGAAGAAACCTGTTGTTCTTTTCACACTGATATCACATCATTATTTAGAAAGACAGGTCATCTTGTGTTGTGGGCTATTCTAACGAGCATGTTTAATTACTTTCTGCCATTCTACAGACGTTTATATTAAGAAATAATTGAGAAATTAATCGCTAGTTTAACATCAAAAATGAAAATAATAATTAGTTGCAGAGAGCCGAAATGTTTGGTCACTAAATCGATTAGTCGAACAGCAGAAAAAAAGAATTGGGAACTCTTTTGACACTAAATCAATCATTTGTCATTTTTCAAGCAATAATTGCCACATATTTGCAGGTTCCTGCCTCTCAAAGAAGATTTGCTGCTTTTCTTTTCAATATATGACTGTAATCTGAGTATTGGTTGTTTTTATACCTTGGGAGGAACAAAACATCTGAAGACATCACCTAAAATTTACTTTTTTCTTTCTTTCTTTTTTAACTTTTATTTCATAGACTAAACAACTAACCAATAATCTTTAATTGCAGCCCTATAAACCCTGTGACCCAAAATAATGCTCATCTGTTGGATTTTGGGCAACAAAGGTAAGTTAGGTAAGGTAAGGTAAAGTTAGCTTGTACAGGTTTAGCTAACGACAGTTAGCTACTGTTGCAGTAGCCTTCTGGACACTCTCTTAGTTTATAGGAGATATCGATGAACCCACTGGAAAACAGTTGGCTTTCCAGTGGTTATTATACAGTTAGCTATAATATTAACCAGTTAATCCCTGGCATGTCGTTAGATATAACGCTACCAATAGCTAAACAGCTCGAGATGACCACTTGGCTAGTCTCAGTAACCGTGAAGCTGGCTCTGGTTACTGACTCAAATCATTTAGTTACTAACTAATTTAACTCACCTCATGAACCTGTTGTCGTCGGCTGAAGTTAACTGGACCGTTGGATGTATGGTGTCGTAACGTTAGCTTTCGCTTTGGACCCAGAAATACTTCCCTTTACGTTGCCGGTCAGCTGTTAATGTAATCCTAGTTAATTATTATCAAAAAAGACATAGTGGGTTGGTCAGCATCTCAGATAACTAACACTGACTTAGCGGTGTTTAGCCACTTCTTCCTACGTGCTTTTCCTGTCGGCGTAGAGTCGGCTGGGATAAAAATAATTGTTATGACCTCCGGTTGCAATTTTCCCTCAAAATAAAACAGAAACTTGAGCTATGTCCGTGTTTCAATGATAGAAAACCTGACGAACATGTGTAGATGACAGATAATGAGATAGTGATTATGAATACCTTATTGCAAAAAGTCGATTTCAAATAGCCTCAACAAGCACTTCTTTTTATGGAAGATTTTTATTTTGAAGACTCCGTTTCCGACTTGATTCCGCTTGAGTCGCAAGTAATCCTGGGAAGTGAAGTTCTTTCGGCCAAACGCTTGCTGCACAGAAGAACTCAGGTCCTTTAGGTGGAAATTAAGTAAATACATTTACTCAAGTACTGTTCTTAAATGCAGTTTCGAGGTACTGCAGTATTTCCATTTGATGCTACTTTATATTTCTAATCCATTTAATTTCAGACATAAATACTGTACTTTTTACTGCATGTTTGAGAGCTGTACATACTGTTACTTTCCAGATTTTAGATTTAAAAATATGTCAATCTTATAAATTACAATGCACTGTATTCAAACCAGTGGTTCCCAACCTTTTCACATTGGTGACCCTTTTAGAGGGACCTGAACTCTAGTTTGGGACTAAACTAACTAACTAACTGTGTGAAGTAACTAAAACTAGCTTCCCCTTGAGCAGCTACAACATTAAAATGCTGCTTACACTTCAGTGTTAACAATTTAATGTTGGCTAATACTGTATGAGATAATATATCACTCAGAGGGAGATTTTCCATCATAATGTTTACTTTTATTTTTGTTACTTTATGGAGGCTACATCCTGATTTTTGCAAAAATATTTGGTAGTTTTACTCAAGTAAATGAAGACTTATACTTGTAATGCCATACTGTTACATTCTTGTCTTGATACTTTTACTCAAATAAAGGATATCAATACTTCTTTCACCATGCAGGTAAAAAGTACCTGTGAAAGAACGTATGAGTACTCCATGAATTAGTGTGCAAGTAGTATTTTAGCAGGCATGTAGTTTAGATACCTTCAGATGTATTCCCACTTCAAACATTTTGCCATATTTTTATCACAAAGGCTACTTTATTTTGATTTCAGTCTACCAAAATCTGTGATGCTTGAGGATCAACCACATGACAAAGACTTAAAGGTAGACCAGATTATTGACAGGTGAGATGTCAACAACTTACAGTACGCACAGACCTGTATACAAACATTTCCGCTATCACAGCTATCCCTCTGAATATATATGAGGTCAGTTTAGTTTTGCAGTCATCAAACCCAATGTGGCCATTTCAACAATACTTTGCAGGCAAAAGTTTGGTCACAACTAATAACGTTTGATAAAACAGTTGGAGTGATACAGCTGGGTCACAGAATCTAACTGGTTACAGAATTTGGTGCAACACCTGGAGCTCCATGGGGACCCTGAAATAAATGCTATGCTGCATTTCGCTGCGAGATCCTGTAGCTAACTTGTGGAAGACAACACTAACACATGTGGTGTCATATTCCTCTGTAACATCAGTACAGAAAGAACCAGTGTGGACAAAACAAATTTACAATCATGTTTAATAAGTTTTCTGGGGGAAAATGGCCCCAAAGGCACCATGCGTCTTTTATTGTTAGATACATTTGTTTGATTATATAGTCCAACCTCTACTTTGAAGTATAAAATTGCAATGCACAATGGTAACAAATAAGAAACCACCTTAAACCAAAATAAAAGAAACAACAACAACAAAAAACAAAACAAAAAAAAACCTGCCCACACCATTCAGAATATGATACATTAGATATCTCATTATTAATTATCAGCACAGTCACACATTATTTTCAGTGAAGCATATGGCCGACACTGAAAGTCAAAAGACAACAGAATCAAAACAAAACATTAATCTTGATAATGGCAAAAAAAAAAAAAAAAAGTCTGTATAAAAGATAAAATGAGAAACCTGCTAGAGGAGGAGTGTTATTGTATCTAGCTTGTGAAATATGACATTCAAAGCCAGGTGCAATTATTCCACCGTACAATATCTTAATTTTTGAACTTTTATAGCAAAATTGTCCAGTGAACCACACAGAGTAGACACTTGTCCAGCAGGACCCGTGGGATGACAGTTAATCCTGTCTCGAGTGTGAGTCCTGCAATACTTTGTAACATCTCCATCACAATGGAAAATGATCAACACATCTCCTGTACCCCACCCTGCCCTCCCGCTATTTGTTTGCCAACCCTATAAATAACAATCAATGGTCATACTCCACAGCACAGAGACAATAGCTCTCATTCAAGACAATTATTTAGTTTGATTTCAAAATTATTTCATGTGTAATGTCAGTAAAAAAAAAAAAAAAAGTCTTAAATATCAAAACTGAACTTTTATCAACGAATGCAGCCTCTCCACACATTACACAGAGAAGAGTGAAGCAAATGAGCCGACTTCACAGCATACAATCTCTTTTTTAAACAAAAGAAACAGTGATTAACTTCTCTCCACTTTAGCCATGGTCTGAGTTGAGTGCTAAGTTAACTGATCACAAATATGAACATGAAGTCCTCCCCCCGCCCCCGCCCTCCCCCTCCAAAAAAAAAAAAAAAAATACTCCTATGTAACACATATTCCTTTAGAATCCACTGACTCACAGTACAGAAACAATTCATTTTTCAATTAGGCTACATAACTCAAGGCAGAAAATAAGCACTGCTGTTGCTTTACCCCCCTTCTTGATCTTTTAAGTGCAACCGAGCACACGTCTTCAAACAGAGAGAAACAACAGGGGATCTCGTAAGGATGGTAAAGCCTTAGCTTTTTTTTGTCAGGCTAGTAATGGTACAAGGCATCCTTAGTGTCAAAAGTCAGTTATAGATAGAGGCTTGTAAGACCTGATTTTTTTTATTAATTGTGTAATAAAACATAAAAAAAGCAGAGCCTTAATAATACGGTAACACAATAAACCTTCTCCCGGTACATTTAGTCTGTAAAACTTGGGACGATTTGTTTGTAAAACAACAGGCTACATGAAAATTAGTTTTCCCATCCCATTCCTCTTTGTGCCCGGATACAAAAACTGCCTCAAAAAGATGTGAATCTGAGAGATTTCATTCCAAATCTTTTTTTTTCTTTTTTTTTTTGACAAAATACACCTTTCTGACTATTTCATTTAAAAACAAGAGGTAGTAAAAAAAAAAGGCAATCCAAAGTGGCAGGCAATGATATCATCTTTGGAGAAAAGGCACTTGCTTTCGTAACACACCTACTGAAACAACACCACTTGGCTCTGGTTTTCCCCTTCTGTGGTCCTGTTCTCTCTACTTTTTCAATCTCACATACACGTCTCTTATTGCTCAGAGTGTGTTCCCTTGGATACCATGAGAGTCTTTTCAACCCTAAACACTTTCTCGTTCCCTCAGTAAAAACATTTCAAGCTCCATCAATTACCTCGGCAAAAGTGACCCACTTCATCTAAAGCATGTTTAAACACATGGAAAAATAGCTAGTTGTTTGAAAAATCCGTAATTCTTCAAAAATTTCTTTGCGTGTCGGCTTGTTGAGATTAACTCTTTTTTTTTTCCTTGTGTATGAGACTTTTTTTTTTTTAAAAAGCATAAATTCTGTCCTTGTTAGTTCGTTCTAGCATTGTTTGAATGTTTTTATTCTAGTTTTTCCTGGATGGTTGAGCTGGTTGAAGAGAGATTGTGTCACGCTTTAGTCTGGCTTTTCCAAAAACCTCCCTGAAGAGCTGTTAGTCTTTGACAAGTCTGTAGACATGATACTGAGCTCCGTGTTCACTTGTGGAAACCTCAAAAACAAAGGCTATACAGAGCAAGGTCTCCTGGGTGTCGCGGTTTGTCACCACCTGAAGGGCAAAAAGAACACGTCAAGGGGGAACCAGGAAGAAGTACTAGAAACACTATTGGTAATCACTTGATAATTTCTTAATTTGTTAAAGGAATTGTTTTGGGTATTTTGGGAAAGTGCTTATTGGCTTTCAGGCCGAGAGTTAGTTGAACAGATCGAAACCACTCTCATGTCACAGTTTGGCAAAATCCGCCTACCAGCCCCTCTAAAGCTGTTCACAAACCAACATTTAAAAACAATACGCTATGATTTAACCGGGGTGCAGGGCTAACTGTTTGCATTCTTGAAGCTAAGCTAAGCTAAGAACATGCTAGCTCTCACTCGTGGAAAAAAAGTGAATATGCTCTTTTTCCCAAAATATCAAACTATTCCTTTAAGAACCCCACATAATCGACTGCACGTTACCTGTAGGATAGTGAAGTTTTCGAGAACACTGTTCATCATGTACTTTTCAGGCAAGTGTTTGAGTTTGTGGATAAAGTTGATCATGTACTCGCACATAGGAGAGCGGTGGATCCTGTAAACACACTTTCCTCCCTCCAGGCGAGCGTACTCCGTCTGCAACACGCACAGGATAGGTGAGTCAAGAATCAAGTTTGAATGTGGACAGCCGTCACCTAAAATCTGACAGGTCCTGTATCAGCTGTGTTTGAGAGGAGAACAGTCATCAATGCAAGTCTTACCTCTACTTTCTCGACAACCTGCTTCCCAAACGAGCAGACTTTGGTTGAAACGGTGATCGTCATGTTCTCGATGCTGCTGTACTGGCTGCTGACACCGTAGAAAGAACCAGGGCCATCCTGCATGCCGCTGCTGTTCAGGTCCGCCTGCAGAGGGCACAGATTTCATTATATTAGGGACCATCATTATATGTGGTGAAACATCATTAAAAAAAAAAGGCACCTCAGAGCAACACAAACTGTCAAGTCACAAGAAAATTTTACGGTATTTGTTTTGTTTTGTTTGTGTGAAACAACACAATTCAAACAAAGAGGGGATCGACAGTTCAAAAACAGAAATTCAAAAGCAGTGCACACGATGAAGCAATGCACTGTAAAATGCTGTCTACAATCTTAAGATAAGGTCTTTCACTAATACAAGCACCATGGAGTCACAGGAAAAGGAAGCGGTTTGCAAAAGCTATAACACGCTACCACAAGTCACTGTGACAGTGTGAAGTAATAGCTGCAGTGATCTTAATGAATCTTGAAAGTGTTGATACATTTTCATTTTCATTTACATTAACATTAATGTGATCTAAAACAGGGGTGTTTGAAATGATTCAAAACTCTACATACAGTAAAGCATAAACCAGACAATGGAATACAAATGCACAGTAACAACTAATAACTGGCAGATGATGATGATGATGATGATGATGATGATGATGATGATGATGATGATGATGATGATGATGATGATGATGATGACGATGATGACAACGACTTACCCAGAATTTCACTAGGAAGAAAGCGTTTTGAGGGCCTTTCTCATAAAGCTCTTTGAGCCCGCCCTTCTTCTCGGGGAACTTGTCGTAGATCTGCCGGATGTCCACGGCCTCGAGGAGCGGGTCGCTGTAGGAGGGGTTGGTCTGTCCAATGTGGACAAACAGATGTTTGCTGTACTGCAGTGGACAAAGACAAAAGAGACATGACTTCTGTGCGGACTTCTGAGCGGAAGGAGAGAATGAAGTTTTCTCCTGTTTCTGACATCAAGTCCACACCAAACAGAAAGTTACAGATCCATCCATCCCCAAAGTCAGCTTTTAAACGATCTCCTGTGACTAAAGAGCTTTATAACATTTGTTTTGGTTCCCAAACACAGGAAACTGTAACTCACATTGTCTGGGTCTCTCTGGACCTCCATGAAGGCCGAGTACTCCAGCATCCGCAGCTTAGAGGAGGCGATGGTCCGGTCCTGCCACACTGGTACCGCGGTCGCAGTTGGTGCAGGGGGAGGCGCCAAGGGCTCATAACCTGGACAGCCCACGCACACACATACACACACTAATTTATAAAAACTGTCACGGTGACAGTGAGCTGCCATTTCCAGGTCATTCACTAGTTTGGTTTCATTTCTAAATTCAGTTTTTTACTTCATACTCACTTGGTATGGATTGTGGTACAGGACCTGATAGGCTTGGGTATGGTGGCTGTGCAAAAGGTTTGATACTGAAAGACAGTGAATGGTGTGATGAGACAATGACATAAAAACTATATAGTGACAAAAAAAAAAAATCTGAGGCACGTGGGTCTTAATATATTTGTATTTTTGATGGAAGTCTTCCTGTTAGTGTCATAGTGTAAGCATGTGTTGCTGCACCAGCTAGGCGTAAGTCCACCTGCTTCATTGCTTCTTCATGATGCAAAATAGCATCAATTAATTATGATTTTACCAACAACAAAAATATGTAATAAAACATTTGTAGATTTTGGTAATTATTCAGTGAACTCAAGTTATCGAACACTGCCCTATTCATTCTTTAGTCTCCATCAGATTTGAAGCAGTTAATTTGCCCGGTGGTGGTTTACATCAGTGCAGGAAACATACAGTACAATATAGTGTAGAAGAAGAGTTAGTGCTGCTTTGTGCTCACTGTTGGACCTCGGCTAGGGGGAACTTACGCATGGCTGGTGCGACCAAGCCCAGGAGTCCTTCCCGGGTTGAGATCTAGAACCAGCCTGGTGTGCAAAAATGTGACCTGTTAATCATGCCTTGCAATACCCACCTGACATTAAACCTAACCTCCTCATTCTCTCATTTACGCATTTACTCATCTCTAGTGACAGCATCTCTCTACAAACCGTCTCCTAACAGATATCTTGTGGGATCAGCAGAGGGGTTTACTTACTCCTGAGAGGGCCCAGGCTGTCCTGGGATTGGACCAGACCAGAACTGGAGAGTAAATAAAAGCTGTCAATTTGCTGCTTCGAAATTAAATGTTGTGAAATCCAATGTGATATTTCATTACAAAAACTGCAAATTAAACGAATGGAGGTCTCACTCTGGGTGGCTGGTAGGGGGCCGGAGGCAGTGGTGGAAGGTGATTCTTAATCATGCTCGGTGAGACGATCTGTGCAGACGACAGCGCTGCCATGTTCTGCAGGGCTTTGTCTTTAGATGCCTGATCCTGCGGATGCACACACAGAAATGAGGGGAGTCAACCACAAGGTGGAGCCATATCCTAAACCTCTATCTAATGCTGTATCTTATTCTTAAAAGATCACAATCAACACAGAGGCAGTGTTTGTGTATTGGTTTCTAGGTTCAATGCTCAAATCAATAGATTTTACAATCTTGCGGAAAGCTTCTAACTTCTATAACAAGCTTAACAGGAGTTCAGCTTAACAATCAATAAAATCAATAAAAACTGTTCTAATAATCTAATAATAAAAAAAAAAACTGTGAAAATGAAGACAATTTTTGAAAGAACAGCTGGACAGAATGAAGCAGCGAGATGAAGAGGGAAAATGAAGCAGCATTGCCCCACTGGTATTTAAGCTTGGGTCACAAGGCAAATTGAAGGTCTGTTAGGTCTGAAGGTTTGTTATCAGGATCACCACAGGAAGAAGAGAATAAAAAGAGTGCATTGGCTTGGAAAGCAGTTTTGTATTCATGTTGCATCTGAGAGTTAACAACAACAAGTTCAAGTTTTACTCTGCGGATTAAAGTCGTTCTATGTACATGAAATAAATAGCACAAAAGATATGCAAAGCCATGGTGCATGACACACAGTTTATGATTTACAAACACATCAAAGCAGTTTGCTTTCATTTGAATATTTCAAACTTTATTAAAAATGCATCCTCTTGCTCTCTTTTTTTTCATGTTTTCAAAAGAATGCATTTCAGCTCATTTAGCTCTGACTTTGCGATTAAAAAGGAAAGATCCCTAAGAAGCGAGACCCTGAATCAAAGAGTGACACCTTGTGCAAAGCAAGCGAGACTTTGGCTTCTGGCAGAGGCTGAGGGGATTAAACTACATCAGGCAGGAGGCACAGCAGTACTATGTTCAAAGCGTGGCTGTTGCCTAAGCATTGCGTCATTATGGGATAGCAATGGGGTGGGACGCCATGCCAGCAGAGGGCCACAGCAAGGGGACAGTGCACTGGTGTTGCCAAACAAAGGGGATGAGGGAAGCATATTGCACAAGTCAGATTCACTTACCAAATTCATTGCCTGAATCAAAGAAGAGAGAAACCATTAGTGCTATGCAGTTCTAAACGGTGTGTTAAGATGAATAAGGAGTTTAAAAGTTTCTCCTTTTTTTTCTCCATAGTGTAGCCATGGTTTTATCAAAAACTCAAAAATAATTCACACCACGACTGACATTTCAGCTACAAAGTTCAGTGGGGATTGGGGAAAATCAAAGATGGCTTTCAATACAAACGGCTCACAAATTTTGAACTTTTGAATATGGCAATTTTGCCAACTCGTACAATCTATTTAGTCATGTGTCTCTAGTTGGAATAATGCAGCTCATATATATTTAAAAAAATTCTTTAGTCCATTGGACAACAGTAAAATGTTGAAATAATAACAAGCGTTTCAATAAATCTTACACAATATAAAGCAAAGGATAAGGACAGAATTTTAGTGACTTTCTAATAAAAATCAGTATATACTCCAGAACTCATCAGTAGCCTAATTCAACAGAATTCAAATAGACGACTGGCAACAGTGACTGGTACTTGTTGTTCAGATGATGCTACAATTTTACTTTTTTCCTAGGAGCCACCTGAACTTCAAAGAGTGTTTATCTACAACAGATTATCTCCTGGCTTTACAAACACTTGATAAACCCTCCAACAGAGCGATGGCTACAGCTGCATTTACAGTTCACTAGCTGATGTTCAATATTTAAAAGATACGAGAAAAATGTTAACACAGCAGTTAACAGCAGCAGTGACAAAACTATCGGAGTCAAATGACTAAATTACACGCGAGTTTAAGAAGTCTGTGTGAGCATGAAGTGAAAAAATGTGTCCAATTAAATGTGTCATGTTGTGTGAAGGAGGAAAAATAGGGACGGCTGTTTGTGCAAAAAAGTAATGACAGAAATAATAAATAAATCATGATTAACCCCTTCAAGCAGAGAGGATAAAAGTCACCCTTCGGTACACTTGAAGCCCTGAAACGTGAAGAACCTAAAACCTGATTTAAGAACATAATGCTGCTACACACTGGTTCAGTTTTTAGAGCTTTCCTTTCCACAAAATAAAAGAGTGCTGCTCAAACTTAAGTTTAGATTTGATGAGCCCAAAAAATGACAACATGAGGAAAATGTATGTAACATTTAGATCTGCGAACACTGTGGAGGCCACAATGTGAATGTAAAGAGAGCAGGAGGGGGGATGATGTAGCAGCCTTTCTCTGACACAGCGAAGAGAGGAAAGTCATGGCTCACTATGATCAGTCCTCTAGTTTTTATTCAAGCTCAGAAACTTGTATGACTGGATCAACAAGCCGACTCTTGTCACTGTGTGTCACGGATTGCTTGACTGTGATGTGATGTGAGGAATATAGCAGGCTGATGCATCCATTCCCTTAGCGACATGTGACACCATTGAAAAGATGATTAATTTATCTCTGTGTGACAGTTTCATTTAAAAATATGCCAGCTGTGGATGCTGATGTCCACGAGGGCATTAGTCTGCATGAAGGGGTTAAATTCGGTTGAAGTTAGCACTACAGAATGCCACAATGTCTTTAGTATTCACTTGTGTTTATATGTGAATATGGAAAAATAATAAAAAAGAATGAAGAGACCGGAGGGATCGGAAGAAGTACAAGACAAGTCAAATGGAGTAATACGATGGCAACAATCAAAGATGAATCTCTATTCATGTTCAGTTTTACCAAAGACATCACAAAGAGACACATTAGAGGAGCAACTAAAGTAAAGTAGAGGGAGTTTTAGGGAAAGAGAGGCTCAGAGAGGTAGAGTGTGCTGCAGAAGCATGGCTGGCACAGAGGACAGGTACAGAGCCGGAGCATCATGCAGCTAAACAACCATCCACTGGGCTCATCATAACAGCTTGTACAGCATTCCTTTAAAGCAGCTTTAATTACACTTTAATTTGAAGGATGAAATCAGGCTCATACTTAATGCAGCTCAGACCTACAGTAGAAGTTAAAAAGCTTTGTCAGTGTGCGCTGCATGCAGGATATGGAAGCAGGACTGTGGTTATTTTTTTCCAGAGAATCAACTACTAATCGTTTAACAATGGATTTTCCTCGCCAAGCTTGCATCCATTTTATCTAACAAGAACTGGCCTCGCATCAAAGCAAGGACCGATAATATGCACAGATTCACTGGTTAGTGCAAAGCCAAGCCATTACCAGCCCCGCCGAGCCCGCGGTGAAGCGCATACCTTTAGCTTTGACTGGATCTCGCGAGATTTTCTCCGGGCGAGAACCTGCAAGTGGCTAGAAACCTGCACAGAAGAATAGCCAAGAGGAGGGAAGAGGAAAAGAGGAGATAGGGAGAGAAAAGACAAGGGAAGAAAGAGAGAAGCCGTAACCAAAGAGGAAAGAGACGCTCAGTCAGTGTTGCCCGGAGGCAGGCTGGCGGCACCTACCTTTATACCCGCCTGGTATTCGCGAACTTTCTTCCGCGCTAACACCTGTATGTGACTAGACACCTAAAGGAGCGTGAAACAGTTTTTGAGCATAAAAAACGACATTCACTCAGATACACGCACCCGCTCACGCAAGCACAGACGCACACACACTTAACAGTAAAAACACAAAAAGTAGGTGAGCTGGTGATATTCAAAATTTTTCTTAGTATCAGATTCCAAGAAAATACCAAAACTAAAAATGACTTGATACTACTTTCAAGTATTGTCTGTGTAGCCTGATACTCTGCATCTTACTCCTCTGCTCCAGTCCCCCTCCCCCCTACTCTCTGTGTATAATCCACTGATTAAAATAGTTCCCAACCAATACAGTACCCAGCTGTTTTAGGAAATTACTGAGAGACAGACTATCAAATTGTTAGTTTTGGCTCTAAAGAGATTTGTTGACAATCAAACATATGAATGATAAAACCAGACACATTTCCTTAGAACAATTTGTAATCTTCTTGTAATTAAGGATCAGGTTTTATGAGCTTGTGATCTCTTTTTTATGACTTGGACGATCAGTAACTTAAGCCAAACCCATGCGCGATTATTCAAATTCAGTCATCAACGTCAGTGAAACTTGTTTACCTGTTTTCTTGTTCGGGTTTTGCCTGTCCTCAGTTTGATGTATCTCGCTATCAATTCATTGCGACCTGCAACCAAAAACAGAAAACAAGGTCACAGACAAGAACAACAAAACAAAAAACAGAAGGCAGAATACACAAAGACAGGACAGAAACTATAACATTCGTAGATCACTGATAATACCCTAAACTGGACAGAGGGTGGCGCTCTACTCATACCTTGAATACATGTCTCATGTCAAAAGAACAGCAGTGTGACCTTTCCCAGAGCTCCTCAGACCTGGGGCAAACACACTTTTGACATGGGTCACAGGCCACAATAACACCTCTGTTTCCTATAGGAGACGCGCAAGTTTCATTTCTTATTAAAAAAATAAGGCGGGTCGGTTGATTTTCCTGTTTCACCCCTCAGTTTTCATTATCTTGTTTCACACCTCCTTATTGTCTGCTCACATGGTCCTGTAGCCTAATTACAGAGAGTGCTTAGAAAACAGTACCATGTTTTTCATGACATAACATCCACTCTCAACATTCTGCACAAACAGGTTGTGCAGAGAACAGGCTTCTATTCTGGGCTTTCATGGTCCTCTTTACATTCAGTGCTGAGCATGTGCTTCAACAGGGCCTGCCATTTTAGCAAAGAGCCGCAAGCAAAAATCAACTTTAGTGTATGAGAAGTGCAAAAAGCATTATTATGTTGTCTCAAGGGAAAAATCAGTCCATCATTCTTTCTCACTTCTTTTTGTTGCCAAGTCACGCTTACCGAGTTTCTGTGGCTGAAAATTGGGCCAAAGGGAGAGGTTGAACCGCTGTGTCATTATGAATAATGACCTAAACTCGTCTAAAGTTGCTGACAGAAATTTTCACCAACAAAAAGTGGTCAAGATGTGCTTTCTTAAACACACACAGACACACACAATAGACTGTGTGTCTAGGAAGTCTACAGCTTAACAGCTTTCAGGGTATCCTGACACATAATGACAGGAGAAACAAGTCCTGCTTTTTCACACACTTTTTAGCATTTGGCCTCCAAAAGGCCCTGGTTAGTGCAATTACCATAAAAGTACTGCAGGCCATCTCCAGCAGGCTTGCAGCACTTGCCGTACTCTCCAACCAGTCCGCCCGGCGGTAGGCCAGCAGAGCAGAGCTGAACTGTCTGCCGATACTGAGGTAGCCCCTCCCCTTCTGCCCCGGGCCAAGGATGGACACGCCCGCTCCAGCGCCTCCGCATTCCTAGCATTCCTCTAAGCCTGTCACATCTGTGCTAGCCAGTCTGATTGGCCTGGGCCTGCAAACACAGCCAGAGCTCGGGCCAACACACACATGCTCATATACACTTCCAGCTCTAGGAGAAGCAGGGCCATTAGGTTGGGGTAGGGGGTCGTCAGTTAGGGAGGCAAAAGGGGCAGCTGATGCAGTAACTCTTGGAAGAAACACAAAGCCATAACTGTCTCTGCCAACAACTGCCACCTGGCACCAAAGCAGCCCCTTTTCCCAAAACAACACCACTGTGTGACCCTGCATTCAACGGACAGCAGCACCTGCTGCCGACCGTCCCAGCAGAGGATGGCAGAGAAAGAACAATGCCAGTTCGACCCCCGCCCAACTGTCACTCTCAATCTCTTCAGCTGAGGGGCAAAGAGGGAAAAACATTACATGGGCCCAACCACAGAGTTCTGCAACCAATTTCACAGATATCTCATTGCAAAGTAGGCCTACTGTAGACTGAGATACAGTATGAACTAGATGCAACAGGTTTAAGATAAGAACTTGTCTGAATGGTGAGGTGAACTCAGTATTGTGTGGAGCTGGTTAAACTGTAAACACAACAGAGTTTCAACCACAGCTGAGCAAAACCAAGCTGAATGTGTTTTTTTTTTTTACAATTAAAGTGATTATGTAAATGATTTTAAAATAGCAGACCATATACTTTCACTGTCACATGTATCATAACAATGTGGAGCACAGTAATGCCTTGGTGTTGCATGGTAAGTCAAAAATGTGTTTTGTTCATCTGTTGAATGGTGAAGTTCTGCGGTCGTGAGCTGAGATGACATCTCCAGCTTTACCACAACGTCTGGTCGGTTTTGTGATATTTTAAATCACCGCTTTTGTTTTATGTGATATACAGTTTGCTCATGAGACTCTGGTGTTTGATTTCAAACTTTCAAATAAACTTTTATAAAGTCACATTCTCAGGCACCACTTCTCGTGCTCCGTGGAAAAAGGACAAACTGGATCACGATACTGTAAATCATGATACTCTAAACGATATATAGCAGAACTTCATGGTCGGAAAACAGAGAAATCACTCAGGAGTCCCGTGTTTAACCCCAGGAATAAAATGCTGCAGATCAATAAAATCAGGAGGGTGAGTTGATGCCTACAAAAACAAAACCATTCACCTCGGTTAAAAAATAAAGTCACAACCTGACATGAAATATTTTTTAAAAAGGCCCCAGGACTTCAGAGCAGCAGCTGCGTGTTATGCCCCAGTACATTTTGTGGATAATTAGTACTGTGGCCTGGTTTTCTTAGATCTGTGACCCAGTAGGACTGGTTATTTCAGTTGATCATATTTTAGACACACTGCTCTCTCAAAACCCAACAGTTAAATTATTGAGGATATGATCTCTGTGTTGTCACTCTGCTGCAGCCAAGATCTGCTCAGGCTTGACGCGGTGGGGGTGGTGGGGGTTGGGTGGTCAGGGAGACGGTGTAAAGGCTGGCCCACACAGCAGAGGATCATGACAGGTGCATACAAACAGACACACTGGTACAATCGCATGCACAGCCTCACTTGTCCTCTGCCTCTTTTTGAGCTGCTCATGATTCCCTTGTTGATTGCTCAACACCCACTCAGATCGCTGCAGGCTGCCATTCTTAACCTCTTCCCCGACAGGACACGCCTATCTTTTTCTTTTACTACATGGCAGCTGGAATTTTCCACTTCCATGCAAGATAGTGAGCAAAAAGGTAATCTCTCCTCACTCTCAGCACCCCCCCCCTACCCC